CCACCCTGGCTCCGTAAAGGCAAAAAAAGTCACAATCTGGCCCATGACATGTTTGACACCCGTGACAAGTTTGACACCCATGCCTTTAAAGATCAAAACAGCCCTTTGCATGGGACTCAGAAGCTTATTAGCAACTAAGGCAGTGACTGCAATATAGATGTCATCTGCTAATAACTTAACCATTGCATTGAGTTTTGTGCCAACTGAATGGTATAATGGTAGCCTCTGAATAATTTTTGCCTCATGTAAAGCATGTTAAAGATGAATATAAAGTCATGAGTCCCAGTTGCCAGTATCTAGTCTAACTAGTTTAAAACCAATGCACCAGCCTCAGCTGAGCAAAGAGTTCCTGGCCACAACTTCTATCATTCTTATGGGGAGAACAAATCTGTCCAGAACTAATGTTGGAACAGTCATGGAACTAGAATAGTTCCAGATAAGACAGTCACTCCCGCTTGCTAGGACCGAGGCTTAGGTTATTTCTACTCATTCAGATTCTCACAGCTTCAAGAACTAGGTCTTACATCTCTGGTTTGGGATGGCAATGTAGAATTTAATCTCTCTCTCTCTCTCTCTTCCCCCGCCCTCTCTCTCTCTCTTCCCCTCTCTCCCTCCCTCCCTCCCTCCCCTTCTCTCTGCAATGAGAAGACATTGAACCCTCTGGTAACTAGGTATAAGGTGGTGATGCTTTCCAGTGGTTTAGAAAAATTCCCAAGTGCTTACAGGAAGCTACTGAGATACATTTCCACCTACCAGTGGTGAGACAACAGTTCTAGGCAACAGTAATATGCAGTTAAACCAGAAAGTGATCAATCTGATCATGGCCAAAAACTAAAGGTAATGTCCCCCATTTTCAGATCCACACATCATTTGCTCTGAGTTAAACTACTAATCACCAATATATGAGTAGGGATTAGTAGGCACATAATCTGGGACATGGAAACGATAAATTCCTAAGCAGCACTGGACCTCATTCCTAAGGTGTTCATCAGTGTTGAAATGCTTAAGCATTTATATTATAGCATAAAGGACTCTGGAACAGTAATGAGGTCTACTGCAAGATTTCTCTCAAAAAGTCTCACAACTGGTACGACTGCTGCTATATTTAACTTCTAGGTATATAAAAACTTCATTTGAGCTTCTTCCCCAGCTGTCCCTAAATAATGAGGAAATGTTGGCGTCTATCAGAAAAAGGGCCTTGTTTGAGGCAATGCAACCTCCCCCACAAAGCTCATTTGATGCTAACATTATGAACCTTGGAGCAACAAATTAAATTTTTGTCTTTATTTCTCAGGTATTTTAGGAACCATTTTGGTGTTAGAAGTTAACTGTTTTCATGATTCTTCACTATGATTTTATACTTTATAGCAATTACTATAGCTCTGTTCTACTGTTCCCTAAGAATGTTTTAATTCTGTTTTCTGATTTTAAAAAATATATTACTGTTGCTTTTATATTTACTTTTTTATAACATGGGTAGTACGAGTACTGGCTTACGGGATATGAGATTACTTCTTAATCTGTTCTCAGAATGAGTGTCAGGGTACCTTTTTAGGTGATAGAAGCTTGAGGACAAACGAACCAAGCTTCTGGCTTTCAATCACTACTCTCTCTGAAGTTGGTACCCTGTTTCCCCTAAAATAAAACATCCCTTGATAATAAGCCCAAACGGGCTTTTGAGTACATGCATTAAAATAACACACACACCCGAAAATAAGCCCTCTCTGAAAATAAGCTCTCCCGGAAAATATTTAAATACATGTGCAGCCGGTCCCCACCATTTCCTGTGGTTAGGGAGACAGAGCTGGAAATCAGGTAAAATGGCAAGAGGAGCCCCGTCTTGCTCCATGCACCCAAAAATAATAAGACATCCCCGAAAATAAGGCCAAGCACTTATTTCGGGGTTCAAAAAAATATAAGGCAGAGTCTTATTTTCGGAGAAACACGGGTATGACTGAAGGGCAGAACTTTTTTTCCAATAACAGCAGAGAATCAAACAGCTCCAGAAGTAGCATAAGAACAACTGCAGGGTTTCAAATTTGATCCTTTACAATGCCAAGACATTGTCTCACAGATAAACAGAGTGGAGCCTTGGAGATGTTGCTTTCCAATCATGGTCACTGGTTTTATTTTTAGCTCTAGCAACGTGCCAAAGATAGCTGTGTCAGTTCTCCATATTTAGTAACCGTGACCACAGCACATTGCAGTAAGCTCAGGGTCGTGCCTCTGGTGTCTTTCCATATTTCGGGTAAGTTACCCATCTATTAGTGAGTTCTAGTAATTAAAAAATAAATATTCTCTTATTTATATTTTCTGATGGAAGCAAAGACCCCTCTGGCAGTCTAATAGATTCCTTAAGTCATTTTGTGAAAGACTAGCATGGCTTTAATAGTTTTATTGCTTTAGCAGTTTTCAGAAAGCACAATAAGTAGATTAAATGTGAAAGGCAAAGGGATATTATTGAGGTGAACTGTGATTCAGTTTAGATTGGTTGACTTTTACAAATAGAAGTATTAAAGTTAGGCTAATATAAAAAGCAGATTACAGAATTATGCAACCAAGAATGAAGCACAATACCAGAGAAGCATTCCTGAGAATATTTGTCACAACTTGGACTCACATCGTGCTGTTGGAGCCAAAATTCTAGCTCAGGAAATGAACGTTGATTTGGAGCCTTTGGACTTAAATCCCTTCTCCACCATGAAGGTTACCATGTGATTTAGTTAACCACCTAGTTTTGTTCTATATGGTAGGAATAGCCCTAAGCAGTCCAGTGAGCAGATGCACCTCTAGTAACACTATGCATTGTGTTATTTCAGAGGGAGGAATGATGGAAATAATAAGACTTCGTGGTACAGTGAGATTTTTTTAAAAAGAGCTGGAATTCATAGAAGTAGGGGGAATGCCTTTTAGGAGTAGCTGGTGTCAGAAAAGAGTTTTTTGGCCAGCACTGATTAGGGAGAGCCTGTCTTCTGTGCTAGATAAACTCTTAAGCAGATGGTGCTGGCCACTACCAACTATTTTAGAGTTTAACTATTCAGATTGCAATCTATTTATGTTTTTCACTTTGTTAAGGACAGTGAAAATACAAAGGAGAATACAAAATGACATAGAGTAAAGAGTAGGGAGGAAACAGCCCTGAGTCAGGGTTCTCCAACTATTAATTTGCTATAGACAGGGTGACCGGACTTCCTGAGTCAAGGTCATTTCCATGCCCTGGTCAAAGTTGGTTACTGATTAAAGGTATGATAGAATTGATGTTAGCTCCACCCTGGCGATTTGAGGCATAGCACGAGACAGCTAGCATGCATTAAAAAATTCCATTATGAAGCTAAATCCCCGTCCAGTTAAACTGAGCTTCTTGAAAAAGCCGGCTTCTAGGAAAGGGTCACCATTTCCTCTTTTCTCTTCTGTATTTTTTTTGGAATAAGGCATTTTATTCGTCTTGTCTCCAGAGTGTGTGGGTGTTTTAGAAAATGTATTTGTCAGGCTAAATGTGAAAACAAAGGTCATGCAGTAGCTTTAGTGAAACTGGGTCTTAATTGTCACATAACAGTGAGCAAGCTTATAGATTTTACAAGAACACATATTCAGGATGGAATTTAAGGACCATCCACAAACAAAACCCAACCAATATGGGAGAGTGAGTTAAATATGATGAGATGATTTGTCATCTCATAAAAAAAAATAGAAATAGGGCAGATCTGTGATTTGCATAGTTGTGGCACCATCTTGAATTTTTGACCTGCCCCTCTTCCCTCCTGCAGACACCCAAGTTAAAATTTTAAATCAAGTTTAACAAGGAAATCCTTCCTTGTTAAATCCTTCCTTCCTTCCTTCCTTCCTTCCTTCCTTCCTTCCTTCCTTCCTTCCTTCCTCCCTCCCTCCCTCCCCTCCCCTCCCCTTCCCTTTCTCCAGACATTCCTGTTATAACTGTACTTGGCCAAAAGCTGAATCAACCCTCTTTGGAATGGCTAAGGAAAAAGTAATTTACAGTATGTGTGGGCATACCCATAGTACCTGTTAGCAACTCCGTAAACAGTGGCATCCTTTCTGGTCTTGTACAGGATTCCAAGAACAAGATTAACATAAGGAGGTGCTGACAACTGCTATATGTATACCCACAAGTACCTGGATCATATTTCTCCCATCAAATTGGAGTCACTGCACAACTTCAGCAGTTAGGCTCAGGAAACCTCCAAAAAATCCCAGGGTTTAGACTGGACTGGGCAATTAAAAAAAAAAAGGTAACAGCAAACCATTGCTATACTGTTGCAAAAAAAAAAAAATACCACCAATATAGACTGTCCACATATATAGTAAGTCTTTATTCAAGGGATACTTAGCTTTAAGTATTCTCCCCATTTAGGTGTCTTCTAATTTTCAACTTGTCATTCCCAGTCATTCCATAACTACATTATCTCTTCTCTCTAGAGAAGTTCCTAGTTTTTCTTTTCAAATAGGCATAGGAGAAGTCACAATACTTGTTTTCCAGACCAAATAATTTTGTGCTTTCTGCCAATTACTGGACTATTTTTGCTAAGCTATTCTCTTTCTTTTCATTGCAGAATGCTTTGTTCTGTTTAATCGTATCAAAGGTTGCTGAGGTATCATCAGTGTTCAGGATTTGTAGCTCCATTCCTGAGTGAAGTGAGATTTGAGCAATGGGATAAAATCTTTGTTCTGAGAAGGAGGGTTTAAACAAATTGATAGGAAGTGGAACAGAACAGTGTTGATTCTAGTAACACTGATCAAAACAATTTTGATTCTAGCTCATAAGTTTCATTTCAACTTCACAGCAAATTATTTGTGGCAAATGTCAAATTGTTATCTGTCACTGTAAATTTTATTTTTTAAACAGCACCAATGAAATGAGACACATCACCAATTTTTGCCATTTCTCCTGCTGTGAAGTGACCATTTCAGAACGAGACCATCATGCATCAATCTCTCTGATATAGTGAGACCAATCCCTGAATACTTTTCTTATTTCTCATCAGTATTGCACCTGGAAGGATCTCTTCTTGTGTTTGAAGACATCTTCAAACTGGTGGCATTCTACTGTGTCAGTAGGTAAGTTGGATAAATATTTTCCAGTCATGGTGCCATGTGATCTTGCAAATCTGCTTGTAAAAAATGAGTAGCCTGCAAAAAAAAAAAAAAAAGGCTTCAAGAGGATGGTTGAGGTGGAATGGAGAACATGCTCCCTCAACCCACAAAGGAGGGAAGAGTGATGGAAAAAACCTGCTTGTCCACCTGCATAGAATTCCTTGTTTCCTGGGGCTGCCAACATAATGCCTAAGTAAAAGGAATCCTGATCTCAGAGCATAAAGATAATGTCTGTCTGTCTGTCTGTCTGTCTGTCTGTCTGTCTGTCTGTCTGTCTATCTATCTATCTATCTATCTATCAATCATCTATCTACTAAAATCCTTGTTGTTATGATTTTTAACTGGGTAAAACAGTGCATTATATGGCAACAACTTTTGAACCAAGATACTTCAAATGGGTTAACTTACAGAATTTATCCAAAATCCAGGACTCGTGACTCCCAAGGGAATGACATTTGGGGAAGTTGTGATTGTTTCTGTGCTACTAGCTGCTGTGGTTACATGATCTTCCTTTCCAATATTCTATGACAGTTTCCCAGCCAGTCTCACAATCTCTCACTGCCCCATCCAAAAGCAACTTATCTACCTGCTAGAAAGTGGGGGGAGGGAGGGAGGGAGGGAGGGAGGGAGGGAGGAAGGAAGGAAGGAAGGAAGGAAGGAAGGAAGGAAGGAAGGAAGGAAGGAAGGAAGGAAAGAAGGATTTCCAGTATTCCTTGCCAGATTCCCACAAAAAAGCTCAACAGGGAAGCCAAGTAAGGAGTCAGAATTCACTCTCGCTCCCACTGCTTATCCCAATATTTGAGTGGCTGCCACAAAAAAGGGGGACCTCAATTTATTCTCCAAAGCACCTGAAGACAGGACAAGAAGCAATGGATGGAAACCAATCAAGGAGAGAGCCATCATAGGAAAAATTTCCAGACAGTGAGAACAATTAGTCAGTGATTTGCCTTCAGAAGTTGTGGGTGCTCCATCACTGGAACTTTTTAAGAAGAGATTGGACAACCATTTGTCCAGAACGGTATAGAGACTCCTGTTTGTGCAGGGGGTTGGACTAGATGACCCACAAGGTCCTTTCCAATTCTTTGTTATTCTATTCTTCTTCTTCTTCTTCTTCTTTGCTTATCTTTGGTCATTCTTTTTCTCTCTTTAGATAAGGAAATGTCTCTGAAACAATGACCCAATGGGACATGACTTGTTGAGCAGTCTATAACATTGCAGCTGGCATAATTTGCACAGGAAAACAGAATAAGAAAATTCAATTTGTAGAATGTTATTTCAAGCTATGGACGGTGCAGTGTAGAAATTACATTTAGCAATGCTTTCTTGGTTAACTTAATTTTTTAAAAGCCTAGCCAAGCAGATCAGACAAATTTGGGATGATATTTTTCTATTCATAGGAAGTATTTTATTTGAAGGAGCATTCAGAATGGGCACCCTCTATCTGCAATCAATAATGTGAATCCAGCCCATTATATTCCATCCACTGAGAGCAATTCTGTATGCAGAACATATCTTTCTTTATAAAAAGTCCCCTTGTACCTTCTTTGTTTCTCCCCATCACCTGCTTTGCATTATAATTACATAAATCTTGAATATATGAAGTGCTACCAAAAAAAACCAGAGGGGAAAAATAGTTTGGCACAATCAATATCCAAAGTTACTGCTTTGAGACAATCTTGACATGAAATTATTATGTCTCTTTTTTTCCACTCATCATTATTAGGAAAACCTAAGGAAGAGATATTTTGAGGCCCCAAAGCCAAACCTATATTTGTGTGAGCAAAAGAAACAAGATGGTCACCTCAAGCAAAAGACTCTGAGAGGCAGCATTAAAGTAATAGGAGAAAAGAGTTGCCTCCTGCAGATGTTCTGGTGGTGATCTGGCAATTGAAAGAGGCGGTGGTGAGGCCTCTCCTCAAGAAGCCCTCCCTGGACCCGGCAGTATTGGTAACTATCGTCCTGTCTCCAACCTTCACTTCATTGCGAAGGTTGTTGAGAGTGTGGTCGCACGACAGTTTCCACAATTCCTGGAGGAAACGTCGTATCTAGATCCATTCCAGTCGGGTTTCAGGCCTGGGCACAGCACGGAAACTGCATTGGTCACGTTGGTTGATGATCTCTGGAGGGCTCGGGACAGGGGTTGCTCCTCTGTTCTAGCCCTGTTAGACCTCTCAGCGGCTTTTGATACCATCGACCATGGTATCATGCTGCACCGGTTGGAAGAGTTAGGGATGGGGGGCACTGTGTTACGGTGGTTTTCCTCCTTTCTCTCCGACCGGTCGCAGTTTGTGTTGGCAGGGGGGCAGAGGTCGACCTCGAGACCTCTCATTTGTGGAGTGCCTCAGGGGTCAGTCCTCTCGCCCCTTCTGTTCAACATTTATGTGAAGCCGCTAGGTGAGATCATCCATGGCTTTGGGGTGAGATACCACCAGTACGCTGATGACACTCAGCCGTACATCTCTACCCCAGGCCACCCCAATGATGCCCTTGAAGTGATGTCTCAGTGCCTGGAGGCTGTGCGGATCTGGATGGGGAGGAACAGGCTCAAGCTCAACCCTTCCAAGACTGAATGGTGTGGTTCCCGGCATCCCAATATAGTCATCTGACTCCATCGCTGACTATTCGGGGCGAGTCTTTGGCCCCCGTGGAGAGGGCATGCAATCTGGGTACGCAGCTGTCCTTGGAGGAACATCTGATGGCTGTGGCCAGGGGGACCTTTTGTCAGGTTCGCCTGATTCGCCAGTTGCGCCCCTTTCTTGATCGGGATTCCGTGTGCACAGTCACTCATGCCCTCGTCACCTCTCACCTGGACTACTGTAACGCTCTCTACATGGGGCTCCCCTTGAAGAGCACCCGGAGGCTCCAACTGGTCCAGAATGCGGCCACACGGGTAGTTACGGGAGCAACATGGCGCTCCCACATAACACCACTCCTGCGTGAGCTGCACTGGCTCCCAGTGGTCTTCCGGGTGCACTTCAAGGTGTTGGTTACCACCTTTAAAGGCTCCATGGCATAGGACCTAGTTACCTTCGAGACCGCCTGCTGCCACCGACGACCTCCCATCGACCTGTACGCTCCCACAGAGAGAGCCTCCTCGGGGTGCCATCAGCTAAACAATGTAGGCTGGTGACCCCCAGGTGGAGGGCCTTCTCTGGAATCAGCTGCCCCCAGAGATAAGGAGAATCCAAGACCTCGGTGCCTTCCACCGCGCCCTTAAAACTTTCTAATTTCAGCAAGCCGGGCTGGCTTAACAAAGTCTTTTAATAATTTTAATTGGTTTTGTCTTTTTAAATTTGGGGCCAAACAGAGATATTTCTTTTAATTGTTTTTAATGTTTGTATTATATGTTTTTATCTGGCTGTACACCGCCCTGAGTCCTCAGGGAGAAGGGCGGTATATAAATTTGAAATAAAAAAAATTCACATGTTTACTGAAGAACTAATTATTTGAACATCAACTTCACTTTTGTAAATCAAATTGGAGGGAGCATGAACAAGTTCCTCATAATACTATAGGTCATTTTGACGGAACTCGTTTGATTTGTTCATGGAGATATTCGAATAAAACAGAATAACAAAATAACAGAGTTGGAAGAATAACAGAGTTGGAAGGGATCTTAGAAATCTTCTAGTCCAACCCTCTACTCAAGCAAGAAACCATACACCATTTAAACAAATGTTTGTCCAATTTCTTCTTAAAACCTCCAGTGTTGGAGCACTTACAACTTCTGGAGGCAAGTCATTACACTGATTAATTGTTCTCACTGTCAAGAAATTTCTCCTTAGTTGTAGGTTGGTTCTGTCTTTGATTAGTTTCCATCCATTGCTTCTTGTCCTGCCTTCAGGTGCTTTGGATAATAGCTTGGTTGCCTCCCCCTTCTTTGTGGCAATCCCTAAGATATTGGAACACTGCTATCATATCACCCTTAATCCTTCTTTTCATTAAACATGATTAAATGTGTATATGAATATGAATATGAATATGAAAAGGATCTCTTTTATTTCAGGAACCGCAAAATTGTTGTTACCTGACAATTTTATTTTATATATCCTCTCAGTAGGAGGGATATATAAAAATTATAATAATTAAATTATAAACCTTTTATAATTTTTTTTTAAAAAAATAAGTAAAATGCTGCATATAATTAAGTGACTGCTGGATGTAAGTAGTCCAATTCTCCTAAATAGTCCTGTGAAAATTTGTGGTAAGTGAGATTGCCTTGGATAGGATCACTTGCTAAATAAAATTTAATGTAGAGGATTTGGACTAATGTAAAACAAGTATCAGCAAAATGGAATGGGTGGGCGGATGGCAGTGGTGAGTTCATCTCTTAACCTTTTTTAGGATTTGCCAAGGCAAGCAGTTTGTTTAACCCTTGTCCAATTGCGTGACAAAAACGACTTCCTTTAATATAGAGAAGCTATAGCCAAGCTCTATTAGCATATATTAAATGAAACTTGCTGTTCCAAGCTGTTTTTTTTTTTAAAGAATGACCTCAGTCTGGGAATAAGAACAAAGAATCTTCATCAGTGGTTTCAGAATATTTTGCTGCATGGCCCTTTATAATAGCTAAATCTAACTTGTATCCTTAATCTCCTGAAAGGACATGTATATATAGGCACTAATAGGTAGGAACACAGAGAACAAGTACAGAATTCCACACAATTTGGGAATATGATACGTCCCAAGAAGTATATTAAACATGTGTATGTTGTACTACCATTCATCTGGTGGCTAAGACCTCTATGGCTGCATCTTGTGACATTTTAAGTGAGATAACTATCTAGTGTGAATAGCAGGTTGCCGAATAAGCTGGACACCCTCTTTGTGGATATACATAGGTGATCAATGATAGCACCAGTCAGTTAATCAATGTATTTATTGTTTTAAAATAGCATCAGTCAATCTGTATTCTTTAGCTGTACTGAAGAAGAACTTTGGCAACTGCAGCCCCGTTACATCTGGATTGCAACTGGTTGGCCTGATTAACTACAGTCAGTGACGTCCTATGAAGAGCATGTACTTCAGAAGTCTTCCCCATTAATGCCTTTATAGTGCTCCCCAACCATCCAGAGCCTGTTCTCGTTACTATTATATCAGCACAATAGTGGGTGGATAACTCTAGAAGACATTATGACCATTTCATCATTCCTGATTTATGTTCTTTCAGTATCGCCAATCATTCTTGTGTTTATATTACACCTTCTTCATGCTTGATTGGCCCAGCAGTTGTAGAATGATGCTATACACTGTTATAAATTCCTAATAAGGAAATGTCAATTATCCCAAGTGGGGATCTTGAATAAGGACCCTTCCAAAGCGGTAACTAATTATGGCAGGAATATATCTTGGCAACATCTGTTTTTCTGCTCAGTTTCCATTATGTTGCCTTCAAATCATTGACAGCCCGAGAAAGCTATGAGAAAGGTTTAAATTGTTCTTAATTCTGCTTGCATTAAAGTTATGTTTTCCTATTATTCTGATTCTGTCTAAGGACAGGCTCTGGATATACAAATGTGCAAACTTTGCCATGCATAACCTTGAAGTGAATCAAAGACTGGTAGTGACTGAGAAGAGGGGCAATAACGACAGCAAATGGGACTAGCAATTTTTGTGCCATCTCGGGGCTGCAACAGAGCAGTATAGAAAGACTCTGAGACAGGGGTGAACAATTATAGCAACTTGACAACTTCAATTCCCTGAATTCCCGAGCCAGCCATTTTGGCTCAGGAATTCTGGGAATTGAAGTCTGAAGATTGTAAAGATGCCATAGTTGGCCACCTCTAAGTGCTATGTTTATGACAAAAAAAATTAATAAAAAAAGTTTTTTACATGACCACCCATGGTCTTATTTCTACACTCATATATACACACAGCTGTCACACTCTTCCTTTTTTGGTATAAACAATAACATGTGGTGCATAGAAAAGAAATAGGAAATAGTAATGCAGAGAGAAGTTAAGGGCAGTAGGAAAGACAAAGATAAGGAAAGAGGTAAAATTCCTTTATACCAAGAGTATCCACTACACCTCTTCACATTCTTCTTGTCCAGACAAAATATGCTTGTTCCCGCTATTTCCTACAAATTTATTTGCTGCCTTTTCCTCCTTTCTTCTTTCTCTTTTTATCATGGTTTTATCATATGTTCCCTTCCTATTGACCCTTTTACTCTTCCTTCATTTATGCAGATTATGGTTTGTTCCTCATGTATTGTCTCTGTATAAACAAATAACTTGTGACAATTAGAACAGTTAATCAATGGAAGGACTTGCCTCCAGAAGTTCTGGATGCTCCATCACTGGAAATTTTTAGGAAGAGATTGGACAACCATTTGTTTGGAATTCCTGCTTGAGCAGGGGGTTGGACTAGAAGACCTCCAAGGACACTTCCAACTCTGTTATTCTGCTGTACAAATCACTGTGCTTTTTTTGTACTGGTCTCTCAGTTTTGTTTTCCATCCACTTTGATTTAACACTCAGTCATTTGTGATCCAAGCCCTATAGCCACCTACACTTCATTATTCCTACTGCACTCAGCTAATTTTTATATTTCTCCCGAAACACTGAACTCTCACTTCCTTATAAGAAAAGGAAATGAGCAGAAACATGCCCATTACATCTTTTTTCACTTCTTTTGGCAAAAGTTATTATAAAAGGCATGTTCTGAATATACATCCTCATCCTCTTAAATCATCATCCATAAGCACTTCCTGCACATTTATCCACAAATACATTGAACATACAAGGCAAATTAACACATTCTTTTTTTTACTCCCTCCTAAATGTTACTCACTGAAACAATTCCCTAAGCATTCCACTGATTTTCATGCAGGTTTTATTTCCATCATGACTTTACCAAATTCAACAACCAACAACAACACCATATTCATGCAAAACATTTTCCCCCAAAATTCAAGTCTGTTCATTGCATCGTATGCATCCTCTAAATCAACAGAAGTACAGCACATTTTCTTTCCCAAATTCATACATTCTAAATGACTGCTAAAGAACCAAAATCTGGTCTGCCTATCCATTAAAGTTGAAATATACTTCCAAAATTTGGCAATTGTCTCCTCATCTGCCTTTTATACTCTTTCACCCAGAAACCTGCAAAACGCCTTGATAAACACATTTGAGAAACTAATCCCCATGTAGTTCTTCCATTCAATTTTGTCACCTTTCCCTTTGAACAGGGGAGAAAAAAATAGCTTTCTTCCCATCATTAGACTCTGATGCAAACTTGGTGCATGTTAAACAGGTCAGACAGCCACTGCATCAAGAAAGGACTCTCAGATTTTCACATTTCTCTGGGTACTTTTTCTATATCTGAAGCTTATTCTTTTTCAATGCTCCAACTTTCTTTTCATCATTTCTTTTTCCTTACTAACTCTAATATTTGTCTCAATTCTGCTCTAATGATAACATACGGTATTAATAACAGAGAACAGTTGTAGCTCAGGGTTGAAATGCGGGGGACCTTGGTGTTCTCTGAGCTTGCTTGTTTTTTTGGTAACATCATCAATGCTGATAACCTATTGTTATCATTCATAGAAATTTCTTAAAAAGCACAAGTAAATTACAGCCTGATTCTATGTCAATGATGCCTCCGCTATTCTGTTCTAAGTAGGACCTCATATCTAGAGACCACCTTGCAAATTAATGTATTATTGCTCACAACCCAACAATCCAGAAATGTTTGGAATCCGGCAGCATCAAACCAAATAAACAAGAAACCAATAAATTGGTGATACAGGTAATCTACTGATACACACAGCAAACATTGTGTTGCTTTCTCATATTCTCCCCCCCCCTCCTTTCGCTTTCCTTCTTTTTTTTATTCTCTAGAGATCTGCTTCCGTACACACTAAGATTGCCACAAGCAATATTGGAAGCCAATAGTGCCACGGAATTAGAAACCATCTCTGATTTGGGGACAGGTAAGATGTGTTGAAAACTGATACAATATACCTACAAATACACACCTCTTATTTTGTTAGTTTGATTTTGTTATATGATGCTACAGATTTCTGCAAGAAAAATACATTCCAGATTGCTATGGTCTGTTCCTTCTCCCCATTGTGGAAGTGCTTTATAGAAATGTGTGAAAGGCTATTGAGAACTATCTTCTATTTGAAGAGCCTTGGTGGCGCAGTAGTTAGAATGCAGTACTGCAGGCTACTTCTGCTGACTGATGGCTGCCAGCAGTTTGACAGTTCAAATCTCACCAGGCTCAAGGTTGACTCAGCCTTCCATCCTTCTGAGGTCAGTAAAATGAGGACTCAGATTGTTGGGGGCAATACGCTGACTCTGTAAACCACTTAGAGAGTGATGTAAAGCACTGTGAAGCGGTATATAAGTCTAAGTGTTATTGCAATTCTATTGCTATTGAAGGGATCTTCTCCTTTGATACATTGTCCAATTCAGGTCTGATTTAAACAGCCATTAAAGGGGATAACAGGAGCCTTGTATGTTTCAATCAACTGTAAGTAATGGGACAGGAGATGAAAAAAGAAAATCAGAACATTTTATTTCTGCTATTATTCTCAGCAGCGTTAGTGTACTTTATTGCAAATCTGAGTTCTATTTTCTTTTCTGATAATGTTTAAGGAACATTTTAGCATGGTGAGGGTGATGGTTTGTTCTCCAAGCTTGGGGGTTGGTTTACATTTTAGCATGGTGTTTCTCAACCTTGGCAACTTTAAAATGGCTGAACTCAGCTCCCAGAATTGTTTAGGTAGCATACTGGCTAAGGAATTCTGGGAACTGAAATCCACACATCTTAAAAGAGCCAAAGCTGGGAAACACTGCATTAGCACAACATTCTGCTTATGGCTCATGTAAAGAAATTCTAAATTGTGGACATTAGTCATTTTTGTTGCTTCACTTTGTTCATCGTTTATTGGTGGATAAATGGCAGAATCAAAAGGCATTGGGCAACTTTCTGCAATCAGAAATCTGTACCAACTTCCCCCACACATTTATGGGAAGACACAAATCTGAAAAAAAACCCAGGATTTTTCTGGCTGATGCTTACAACATTGTTAGTTACATAAAAAGAAACAACAGAGGTTTCTTTTTACAATTATATACTGTACATTAGGAGAAGCTGTATTTAAATGCTCCTTATGTGAGGGAATGAAACTAATTTTAGACATTTCTTTTTTTTAAAAAAATCATTAAAACAGATGAAGCAGAATACTTTAGATTTATTCTGATCCACACTATTCAATGCACCCAGCCCTCAACAAGATGCCTTGAACATTTGATGGGATTGTAATGTTCTCATGCCATGCTGTCTAGAAGTACTAGAAGCTGTTGTCCCAAAATTATAAGTAGGAAAATCTAATTTGGTGTTTTCATATATTGAATTGGGCTCAGAGACATAAGGCAACCAATGACAATCGCCTCCAGCATGGAAATAATATGACTAGACTGACTTTTCACTGTCACTAATTAGGGGCAGTTACCAAGTTGTCTTCAAACACAGCTTCACACAGAGGATATGTCAATTGGCTAATTACATTTTGACAGATTTAAACTCATGTAATTGAAGGGAAGAAATGGATAGGAAGGATTTTTAAAAAAATTTGGAGTATAAATATTGCTACTGGGGCCTAAGAAGAGCTCACTTAGATCTGTCTGACTTGATAACATCCAAATTAGAATTCTACCTAAGGGATGGAGAAACACGTGGTTGTCCAGCTGTTGCTATTCTACAATTTCTGTTAACACTAGCCAGCATGAGGTATGGTGAAAGATGCTGAGAATAGTAGTTTAGCACAGGGGTCTCCAACCTTGGCAATTTTAAGACTTGTAGACTTCAACTCTTAGAATTCCTCAGCCAGCTTTGCTTTGGTTGGAGATCTCTGGTTTAGCAAACATCTGGATGGACTCACATTCCTTACCTCTGAAGTAGAAGAGCACCCAACATTCTAAGATTGTCCCAGGGTCACCTCAGCTCTGGGTACAGACAATTTGCTCTTCTTCACAAAGATACATACAGAACTCAGTGACATCATCACCTATCTAAGAGGGCCAGGGAAAATGGTAGAAAACATGCAAATTTCTATCAAAAATTTGAAATACAAGACCAGAAGGAATTCTAGAAGGAATTCAGTACATCCAGCTCAATCCCACTGTTTTAATACTGCTTTCATATGGAAGCATTATTCATTTCTGAGAATATATACTTATCTTTGTGTTTCTAGGTCTATTCTTACTTATTTTAAATAAAATAAGTGCAGTGTATTTGAGAAAAGGGATGAATAAACGGGTTCAGATTTCACCTGCACTGCAATTTCACTGGAATTGCGAGTGTCTAATTCCTTGGGATTCATCAACTCATCTATAATATGAGATTAATATGTTCTGCCACATATAATTTTTCTCACAGTAAAGAATATGCCAAAGTGATTTAGATCAGAACTCCCGAATCCCCGGGCCACAGACCATCATCGGTCCATGGTCTGCCAGGTACTGGACCGCGCAAGCAAACGAAGCCCCATCTGCATACACACGGGATCCAGGCAATGCACGAAACCATGCCCCCCAGGCCATGGAAAAACCGCCCTCCATGGACCTGGTCCCTGGCGCTCAAAAGGTTGGGGGCCACTAGTTTAGATTATTAAAATAATATGCACACTAGTCTATGAGCCCTTGGAAATACTTTTTCAATTACAGAGTAAATTTGTCTTGTACCAAATATATTAGCCAGGTAAACTTAATATTGTTTAGACTGACCAGCAGTTGCTTTCTAATATTTTAGGAAGGAACCTGGAAATACCCAGGACTAAACCTTGAACTTTCTGTTTGCAAAGCATGTGCTGTCTTATTAAGCTATAATACTAAACCTTCCTTTTAAAAAAGTTGTAATAAATAAGGGCATAACTAGACTGTAGTCCATCATATTTTTTAGGAAATCTAACCAACATAAAGAGGAGGTAACAATAGGTAGTGTGGCCATAGTTTCTTTCCTAAAAAGGAAAGATTTTATAATCTAAAACACTCACTTATTGCCAATTTCCACTTCCTCTGGAATCATAGGAGGTGGAATTCCCCATTTTGCACTGATCTTCCAAACTGATATATACATTGTCCTACAGACAACTTGTATTACCAGTTCCTTCCACAGTGAATGTGGTTTCTATCAAAACGTCATTGCTAAATTGTTGGGTTTTAGATTGCTCTCATTGAGATGAGACTGACAGTGCTTTTGTTTTTCAGTTTCGGTCTAGATTTTAACAGAATTTGTGTTTGTAGGACCTGGTTTAAAAAAAAAAATAGCAAACACAAGAAATAAACAAATACAGTCAAAAATGTGCCTAGGAAGAATATGAAATGTAACAAAGTTTTGCTTAGTACATTTCTGAAAAGAATTGATAAAACATTCACAGTACCAAATACTAGATTTTTAAATTTTAGAGTTATATTCCACTTTTCCTCAGATCAAGGTTGAATATAAAATTCCATCCCCCATTTTTTTCCCTACAAAAAGTAGTTTTGTCTATGCAATAGTGATTAGGTGAAAATTGGTCTATATGATACCATGATTGTAATGGATGTGAACATAAGTCTCCCCAGTCCTAGTCCAATATCATAACTCTAGGTTTTGTTGGCTCTTGAACCTTAGTAAGTCAACCTTACGTGCAGCAAACATTTCTGAATTTCACCAAAGATGTCATCTATAACTCTAATTTGTTCAGTTCCTGCTGAATATTATGAAGAGGTTGAAGCCCTACTAAGCAGGTATATACAAAAGTATGAAGGCTATTGCTTAACGCATTGTAAGCCGCCCTGAGTCTCCGGAAAAGGGAGGCATATAAATCGAACCAATAAATAAAGATAAGCTATCAACAGGACGTGGTGTAATTGTTCTCATTCAATTTAGAGTCTGTTGAATACTCTGCCTAAACTTGGGAAACGAACTTAAAAAATACTGTACTTTCACCACTTTTATTCTAAGCAAAAGATCTGAAGCAAGCCCTATTCACAGTTAGGAATTCTTCTCCTTTGCAGGATTCATTGTCATGTATGCAGGTAGTAGGCAATTTTCCTATATTCCCCAAAATAATAGCCCCTCTACAGAGTTGTTGTTGTTGTTAGTTGTGAAGTCATGTCCAACCAATCGCGACCCCATGGACAACATTCCTCCAGGCCTTCCTGTCCTCTACCATCCTCTGGAGTCCATTTAAGCTCACGCCGACTGCTTCAGTGACTCCATCCACCCACCTCGTTCTCTGCCATCCCCTTCTTCTTTTGCCCTCAATCTTTCCCAGCATTAGGCTCTTCTCCAGTGAGTCCTTCCTTAAGGTGACCAGATTTTAACATTGGTAAAGAGGGACATTGTGGGGCGTGGCTTATTTTGTGGGCGTGGCTAGCTGGTCATGTGACCGGGTGGCCATGGCTATGTGTATAGGGTAAGGTGAACAGATTTTAACATTGGTAAGAAGGAAACCATTGTGGGCGTGGCTTATTGTGTGGGTGTGGCTTGGAGGCCATGTGACTGGGTGGGCATGGCTAGCTGGTCATGTGACCTGGTGGCCATGGCTATGTGTATAGGGACTACTCAGAGGGCTGAAAAGTCATTTCTGACAGGTCCTCACACTTTTGACTGGTCCTCACACTTATGACCATCCTCACATTTATGCCCGTGCAGCATTCTTAACAACCATGTCACTCATTTCACAACTGCTTCTCTTCACCATGATGACAAGATAGGGCAAAAATGTAAAATGTGAGGACAGTCGTAAGTTCAAGGACTGGTCAAAAGTGTGAGGACCAGTCAAAAATAACTTTTTCAGCCCTCTGAGTAGTCCATATGCACAAAAGGACTAACCAGAGGGCTGAAAAAAGTCATTTCTGACAGGTCCTCGCACTTTTGACTGGTCCTCACACTTATGACCATCCTCACATTTATGCCCGTGCAGCATTCTTAACAACCATGTCACTCATTTCACAACTGCTTCTCTTCACCATGATGACAAGATAGGGCAAAAATGTAAAATGTGAGGACAGTCAAGTAAGTTCAAGGACTGGTAAAAGTGTGAGGACCAGTCAAAAATAACTTTTTCAGCCCTCTGAGTAATCCATATGCATAAAAGGATACACTAATAAAGAGGGATGAAGGAAGGGAAGGGAAATTAGAGTAGGAGTGACGGTAAGAGAGGGAGGAAGAGAGGAGGAGAAGGAGAAAGGAAGAGGAAATAGGGAGGAGAAGAAGAGGGTGGGGGGAAGAGAAAGTAAGCAGGAAAGAAAAGAGAGGTGGTAGGTTTGAGGAGAAAGATTGCTGTACAATAAAAAAGATGAAAGGGAAGAAAGCCAACCCCAAGCAAATATAAAGATATTAAGATTAAGAATGAATTGTTAAACTTTAAAGAATAAAAGAGAACAAATATGAATAAATAGCAATAATTAGAAACACACATACAAACATACAATGTATTTTCTTTGAACAGAATATTTGGCTGGTTCACAAATTTAAACAGTGTTTAGTCATTTCAATTAAATTTACAATTTCTATATTTCCTTTTTGCCATATTTATTCCTCATCTATTTTTTTAAAAAAACAATATTACCCTTCATCCTCATCTCTAATCTTAATCAAATTCAATTTTTCCCTTCTGTTCTATATTATACCCCTTCCCATTGTCATCTATTTTTATATCCATCCTCACATTGGTTAATTATGTAATTATGTAATACAGTTGTTTAATACAAATTCAACATTTTAATATAAATCAATTAGTTATATAACTATCTTTTTTGTATATTAATCAATATGAACATGAATATTCCAATTATTTCCATGCAATCCAATTTCTTACAAATCAATTAATTATATTTGCCAATAATAATAAACCAAATAATTTCCCCCATATATTCCTCCAAACCACAACTTAACCATTTCTGCTTTCAATACAGTATACAATTAATAGTATCTCAATTATTACAATTCCCTAGTTAAAAAGAGCTTTTTTTTCTTTTGTGTTTTAAAATCTTGAATCTAAAATCTTGAATTTAAAATCTCTTTTGCCCTAAATAATTTCCCATTGTTTGCACCTACCTTTTTTGGTGAGGAAAAGGAAAATGAATCTGCTGCCTAATTTTCCAAGGTTGCAAGCAAACAGCAAAGCCAACAGCCTGTTTTACTTTCAGTTTTGTTTTGAGCTTGGTTTGCACAAAGAGAAAAAAAAACTGCTGAGCAATTTAGCAAGAGCAGAGCCCTGCGCAAATCAGCTGAGAGGGGGAAGCCAAGCTAATCAATGTAGGGCGGCCCTTTGAAGCCCCGCGGCAAGAGTTTAAACAGGTTTTTTCCCTCTAGCCATCAGCGGGGACTCAGGAGGCAGCCGGGACTCAGGAGGCAGAATGAAAAATCGGGACTTTTTTAAAACGCCGCGGGACGCGGGACAAATTGCTCAAAAGCGGGACTGTCCCGCCAAAAGCGGGACGTCTGGTCACCTTATCCTTCCTTCTCATTAGGTGGCCAAAGTATTTCAGTTTCATCTTCAGGACCTGGCCTCAGGGTTGATCTCTAGGACTGACCAGTTTGATCACCTTGCAGTCCAAGGGACTCGCAGGAGTCTTCTCCAGCACCATAGTTCAAAGGCCTCAATTCTTTGGCACTCAGCCTTTCTTATGGATTTCTGTATAGATTACTCTACAAAATAAGAGTAAGTAATCTCTGTTTCATTTAGGAATAGAAACCCATATGGCCTATATGTGATACTTAGGCCAATAGTTTTATATAAGTTATGGTTGTAACTGTATACAGTGTTGTGAACTATATCTACTGCAAAATATTGCCACCCATGTCCACGTTCAGCTTGGAAGACATTATACCAGTTAACAGATAGATGTAAAGTTGGATTATAATGTAGAAATTGAAACAACATCAAATGTGCTGGCTTTATCTTCTGAAAATGTTCAGCATTGTCTGTGTATCTGTGAGCGTGATCTCTCATCTATGAGAGCATGAGCATGATCTCTCATCATCTACAGAGAGGACTACAATCTAGGTCAGAATCTTAGCAGCTGTCTGCATGATATTTTTTTCTAATTCTCAGTTGTTTAGTGAAGTGACTTATTACTATTAATGGTATTTTAGTATTTTTTCTAAATGAAGGTACACAGGAAAACTGGGGGAGTGAATTCTTCCATTAAAGAATTGTAAACTCACTTTCAGTTCTCTAAACAACCCCCTGCATTGAGCATAGGTTGTTCTATACCTCTGTTTGGTGGTAAAATTGTATTAGTGGATTTTCAGATTCTGGTATAAAATAAAATAGACTCTGGGGCATGAAATCTATCATGGGTAGCATTACAAGAGCCATTCTAATGCAGAAAGCATTTTGGATACAGGGAATTCTGTTTTGCTGTATTCAGTTAGACAGCTCAGGCAATTTTTCTGAGTACATCACCAGTTTGCTTCATAGACATCGTAAAATTCTTGTAAATTGAAATAGACTCTTCTGTACTTGTAACACAACTCTATACAATTGTCCATACCAGTAATGGGTTTCAATTTAGTTTACTACCGGTTTGCTCATGCATGTGCGCTCATGCACATGTGCGATGCTTCTGTGCAGAAGCATCTGGACGGGTGGGTGGAGGCTCCTGCCGCCGCCACTACCAGTTCGCCTGATCCGGGGTGAACTGGTAACAACCCACCACTGGTCCATACATGTAAAACATGTTAGTATATGTAATTTATACAAAGTGATCTCTGTTAGGAGAAACTTTTGATTTCTAAAGAATGGTAATATGGTTTTTCAGACCAAACCAAGACGTTATATCAAGCTGCAATCTCTCTTCATCGTACTGCCCTCCCAGCCCCCTATTCAAGGGTTAGATTGGGGTGGTAGCAGTGGTGGATTGTCCCCGGTTCGCACCGGTTCTATAGAACCGGTAGTAAAACCGGTGGGAGGCTCCGCCTACTGACCCCGATATCATGAAAATGCTTCTGCGCATGCACAGAAGAATGCACGCGCAGCCCCGCTGCGAACTGGTAGTAAAGGTAAGGAGAACCCACCCCTGGGTGGTAGCATTGGCATACTTAAAGCAAGCTTGCACAACATATGGCTCACTGGCATTTTTTGAAACAATACATCCATTATTGGTAAATCAAATGTTGTCACCACCAATGAGAATCTGCCAATACTGTCCCAAAAGATATGCTGGCAAGTGCCTTCCGGCCTCCTGACACCACTAGCTCCAATGCTGCTGCCACATCGCTAACCACTGAACAGCTAATCCATTATGACTTAAAATTATTTTTAAGTGATCAACGTAGCCCTTTCACTCTATGAGTTGTGTAGGCTTGCTTATTATAAACATGGAGGAGACCCCAACAGTGTATTGGGAAGTAGACATGGGCAGAGTTGTCTCTGGTGTGGTTTTTCTTCATAATTTGATCTTGACGTAGTTTATTAACTATCTTAACTACTTATTTTGCCCACCACAATAGAGCGATTTGGTTTTTAGCGAGGGTGGAATGCTTTCCTTTTTACATGTCATTTTAGGGCATCTTTGTAAAACTTACTGATAATGCAAGGCTGAAGAGGCTGATAAGAGCTGGTCACTCAGGAAACCTCTCCCTGCATCAATTAGGTAATCCCTGTAAATAGAATCATAGTCTTACCATTACAATAAACTACTATGCAGGAGAACTTTGAATCTTACTTTCATGAGTTCTTCATGCAGAAACCTTTACACTTTTTATTTCTTTTGCTTGTTTCATATTATTTGAGAGAGCATAGAACCCTTCCAGGTGCAAAGTCATGCAAACATTTTGGAAGCCTAGGACTCCATGCAACAAAGCTTTCCTAGTTTCATACAGTGGTAATGGCTATTCTTAGCCCCATTAACTCATCTTCTTTGCCTCTTCTTATAGACCATCCTCCTTTCAAATGTTGAATTTACAACCAGTTGTGTGTACATTTATTAAACTGTTAATAAACCCTCCACTCCAGAATCAGCTAAACTATTGCTAAAAGGGAAGTATAATCATCTGAAACCAAACAGAGATGTCTTCAAGAGCCCAAGGATGCACAGCTTTGCAATACCGTCATCAGATTTTGCCATATACAAATTGTTGAAAGAGCTAATTTCATATTTGTATTCTATCATAGCCGATGAATAAAAAATTGTTAGAAGTATATTCTGCAACATTGTTCCATATCCTTCTGTATCAAATATGCTTTGGGCACTGCATTTCCTTAATTATATTCTCAAACACATAGGTAAAAGCATTCAGAAAGTAGTCCGAAGTGCATTTCCTGGGGTCCAAGGAATTTTTTTTTAGAATCACATAGTTGAAAGGAAATTCAAATAATCTGGTCTTTGTTGGTAAAAGCAAAAGTCTCGTAAATCTTCCCTGATAAATGGACACCGAACCACTTATTAATCATATATAAAACACAATCTTTCAGGTAGAAATGAATCTATGTTTGACCTGTCTCATAAATCTTCAAATAATATTTCTTGCATAATATTTCCATATTCATTTGTAGATTAACACTCTACCATTAAAAAGGAAGCAATTTATGCTATGAGTTGGCCTGATGGCACCGTTTGAAATAGAATTGAGTAATAAGGTTCCAAATGGCTTTGAAAGCACAGCTACCAACATGCTCACTAAAATTAAGGTGACAAATGACTTTGGAAATAATGGATCTCATCCTATCCAGGAAATTTACATTGAGAAAAATGCTGGCTATCCCTAAATATTCATGAAGGCTATTCACTTCCTTTCCTCCTACAATATCATTACACTACTTATCTTAATTTACATTAATTGGATTAGTTTGAAACACTGTGATATATTAATGTACAGGTGGAGACAGAATAATTCTATTTTTTAAGCAACATTGTGCAAGTAGTGTTAAAACATCATTGCTTTTGGTTGGCTATTATTGTGGATACGCTTATTTATTCACAGGTTTCTGGAACTCTTCTTTACATCAAAGACAAGGAAAAAGGCTTCTCCATTCTGTGAAAGACCCTGCTTACATCACAGCTCAGGCAAAAAAAGGAAAGAACCCCAGCCAGCCTTTTGCAAGCGGCACGAACAATTGTTCATGTGAAACTGAGCTGGCAATAGGAAGTGACAAGCTGTGGTTTGTAAATCCTATTTTTATAGAGGAGAGCAGCTATCAATTTCCCCCACATGTTTCTCCTTCAGAGATCTTCAAGGAGAGTCCTTCTGGTGGTAGAAACCTTGTGACAAAACCTCCAAAGAAATCTCCTACTCGACGTCCTCCCCCTCCTCCTCCCCCTCATTCTCTTCCTCCTCCTTCTCTTCCTCCTCCTTCTCTTCCTCCTCCTCCTCTTCCTCCTCCTCCTCCTCCTCCTCCACCACCACCACCACCACCTCTATTGTCCTTTCATGCTGGGAAACAAGCCAAAACATCTTCTATGACCCCTTCCAAAGAGGATCAATTCCATAATTTGGAGAAAACCAAAAAGGAGATGAAAACTGAAATTAGCAAAGACAAGGAAGATAGCAGACAAGAGCTCTTTTTGCCTCATAGCCTTCCATCTACAAATTCAAAGAAGATTCCTCCATCCATTCCGCCAAGGCGATGTTCATCTGAGAGAACTTCAGGAAACTCTTGCTTTGATAAAAGTCAGAAATGTTCACGGTCAGAAGAACAACAAGTAGAAAAACAGAATAGGAGGAATGAAACTTTGACTAACGATCACCAGGGTGATAAAGCTCCAGATGTATTGGTGGAAGTGACAGAGAAATCTGCCTCAAATGCTCAAAATGTGACACCTGATGGAGAGGACAAGAAGGAACTTACGGAGCAGCAGCAGAATTTATCATCTGGAAAACCCTCCCAGCCTCCCATCCCACCACTGAGAAAGAAGAGGTTCTTTAAACAATCATCATCTACCAGCTCTTTTTCTTTGGAGCACAAGAACATTGAAGAGTCAGAAGTTCAAGAAGAAAATAAACAAAGAGTAGAAAAAACTTCCTCTGTTTCCAAAAAGGAAACAAAATCTCATCTTAAGCTTGTCAGAATATCAGATAGTGAACGTTCAAGTGATTCATTGCATTCTCCTGTAGGCAATGCAAGGGCTCAAATGTCTGCCTCTGAGCCAGATTCTTATTCTACAAGCAGCACTGAAGATGAATTTGAATTGAGGACCAGTCCTACAGTGAAGAAGACCCATTCTATGATTTTAGGCAGGGCCAAGCGTCGTCTGTCCATGGTCAGCCTAAGCAATGTCTTCACAGCATTTCTCTCTTCTGACCGAAAGCTCCAGAAGAAGATTGTGGAACTGGCCCAGGATAAAGACTCTTACTTTGGCAACTTGGTGCAGGACTATAAAGTCTACAGTCTGGAGATGATGGCAAAGCAGATCTCCAGCACAGAAATGCTACAAGAGATTCGCTTAATGATGACACAATTGAAAAGTTACTTAATTCAAAGTACCGAGCTGAAATCTTTAATGGACCAGACAGTTCACACAGATGAGAAGCTAGGTGAGTGTTCACATTTCTATGGCAGTTTTGATCTATAAGCAAGAATGGCATACAGTTTCATTGCATATGGACTAGAGTAATAGGAGATATAGTCATTATCATCTAGTGGTTCTCTAGATCCAACCCAACCTGTGATGGAGTCTTGCCCCCAACAGAGCATTAAGAGTATGCTTCTGTTGTTCCTTCCCTTTTCAGAATGGTATTTTAGAAAATGGGATGGAGAAAAAAATCACTTGCCCTGAGTTAAAGAATATGTTTTTATTTCTGAACCCCATTCCCTGCATCTCAGCATACATCTACAGCTGATAGTTACCCTTAATTTTAAAACACTTTGAATTATATGCACTCAACAAAAATAATCATCAACTTAACAGGATGAACATGGAGATAATGTAGAGACAGGTATCGATCAAAGTTGATTCCTTTTTCCAACTATACTTTTTCCCATAGTCCTTTTTCTTCTTTTTATTTCACATGGGGATAAACTAGGGTATATGTGGTAAATTAACAATATGAATGGGACGTGCTTGGTGGGCAGAATATGTAAGGAGAAAGTAGGTTTCTGAAGAATTGGTTATTTTTTTTAACTTTTTGACCCTCGGCTTAATTTTGGGTAAATATTCCCAGGATTAGGACAGAAAAGAAGATGCAAAGCATCTTTTGTTAAGTCTGATAAATGGCCGCTATTCAATGGTAGATTTCACACACACAGTTATCCACAGATTTTTTTAAAAAACATGTTTCAAAACAACAGCTGATTGTGGGTGACTTGGAAGTAAATGTGTCCATTTCTTTTATAATATCCTGTTTCCTCCAAAATAAGACCTCCCCTGATAATAAGTCCAATCGGGCTTTTGAGCACATGGCAATAACGCTAAGCGCTTATTTCAGGATTCAAAAAAATATAAGACAAGGTCTTATTTTTGGGGAAACACGGTATTATCATGCACTTTGGTATCCAGGCATCTAGTCTATGAGACTGTTTTTGATATAAACACATGGAGAAAGCTTATTCTACTAATTTTCTCATTTCAGACTGCTTTTAAAATGTGTAGAAATGTCAGTTCGATGAAATTGAAATTTCCATGGTCATTAACTATCCCCCTTTCACTATCCAACTCTTTATTATTGTACAGATTGTAATTTTTGAGTTATTTAGTTTAAGGATATAATTGTATCCTTTGCATGTGTTACATTAATAATATTACAGATTTCAATTTCCATCAACCCCAGGGGCAAGGGATTGTGGGAGTGCATTCCAAAGCATTTTGAAAGCACCAGGAATGCCTATTTTGCCATGCCCATTAATTTGGTACTAACACTACTGAAGTCATTGAAATTATCTCTGATTAAATCTTGGGAGCTCATAAATGCTATGATTGCATGTAAATTAGTATTACTGAAATGTTAGTTTGTAAATTAGTAAATTAGTATTACTGAAATGTTTGTGTTGTGAATTAAATTATAGATTGGTCTGATTAGTTCTGAGAGAAGCAAGGGAGTTTGTCTTGGGAGCCATCACTGCATTTGTATGAAAGTGCCTTTTTAAAAAGATGCATCTTGTATCTGTATGTCATTACTTCTCCAGCTGCTACAACGAAGATCAAGTACTTTGGCTGTAATCTCAGGGACTGATTTGGATTGTTAACACTCTAGAGCTGAGACAGGACAGTGTGAATCAACTTGCTGAACTTTTGCAAAAATAAACTTGGGACTTTGCTCATTTATTGGAAACCTTAGGCAATGATTTTAGTAGAATATGAGCTATAGAATGATGAACTATGACGCTACAGAATTTAACACTAGGATTGCACTCCATGAGCAAAATACTTGTTTTGCAGATATTAAAACAACTATGAGTCTGATGTGGAAATGAAAGTTTTAAGAATTGCTCCATCACATATCCACTTGAAGGAATCATCTATTTACACAGACATGCTGTTGATATTTCCTCCTAATCAAGAACTGATGTTTTGACTACTTCATTCAGTTCCCAGAAACCAGGCACATATGTAAAAACTAAAAATATTTTTTAAAAAAGCACCTTCTTTGATATTCTGTTTTAATTTATTATCTATACTTTCTTAAGTGAATTATCTATCTGGTTATCTCAAACATTGAACACTACTTTGTATAGAGCCCCTTCCAGGAGAATGGCTTGAGGCAATTCTTTCCTTTTCTCCATCTCTGTAAAAAGACCTTGGTAAGAATTAAAAAGTATATGTGAACTTGCAGGAGAAAGTCCAGAATTGCAGCATTCCCAGCAGAAAAACATTTTTCTTAAATGAGGAAACAGACAGACAGACAGGCAGGCAGGCAGGCAGGCAGGCAGACAGGCAGGCAGACAGACATATTGCATCTGTTCACTAAAGCTGTAGGAGATGACCAGGCTGAGCCTGAGGGAGGGGTCAAATGTGTCATCAGTCATGAGTTCCTTCGCACCCATAAGAGATCTAAATTCAACTCACTGTGAATTCCTTATTTACAGCCAAATTGCTTTAACCGTTAGTAATTCAGATTCTTATAGAGAGTTTGTAATAAATCTTTCTATCTATTTGAACTGCCTGGATCTCCTGATTTCCATGGTGCTTGACAAAAGCTCCTTCTTAGCTCAAGTGGTGATGAAATATGATGTTTATTTTATTTACAAATAGCCTTTAGTAAGAGAATACCTATCTCTGACTTCACCAAAGCCTAGTCCCTCAAATTTGATTATAAAGTGGCTAATGGAATTTGTACAAATATGCACAGGTGCCCAGAATGATGGCAGAGAAAACCAAAAATTACATCTTACTGTGAAAGTTAATTGAGGTCAGGATTAAAGTAGATAAAACAACAGAGTCATTATTAGCTGTGTTGATGTAAATCTCTATGGGTTCCAAAGTCTGAATATGCCAGTCTTATTATGTTGCTGCTTTCTTGTATATTCCTTTGACATGTTTTATTTTCTCTCTTTTCAGAGGTGATAATAGAATCCGCTTTGCACAAATGTGTCTTGAAGCCTTTAAAAGTGCCCATTGATACTTACCTACGGGAAATCCATAACAAAGATGGATCTTTCAAACTCCTAAAGGAAAACCAGCAAGTCATACAAAATACAACCACAACCGAATTGGGAGTCACCACTAGTGTGCCTGAATCTGCATTGCTGGAAAGAATATTCCATAAATTCACAACCATGACCAAGGCTTATTCTCCAGAAAAGAAAATCAGCATTCTACTGAAGTCTTGCAAACTCATTTATGATTCTATGACTCAAGGGAATCCAGGTACTATTTTAAAAGAAAACTTTAAAAAAGTGGCCATACCTTTTAATATTAATAGCTATTCTGATAAAGTGACAATGATGATTAGTGTAGATTTTGCTAGATAAACAGAACCTTCAGAATTTTTGTTCATGGACGAGAGCAGTATCTGAGCAGATACAGAAACAGCTGAATTAAACACACTAGACTAGACTTTATCAAACAGTTGTTAGGTTGTAACAGTTGTACTTAACCAGTGGAACAACTTGCCTCCATAAGTTGTGAACTCTCCAGCACTGGAAGTTTTTAAGAAGAGATTGGACAATCATTTGTCTGAAATGGGTTTCCTGCCTGAGCATGGAGTTGGACTAGTAGGCCTTCAAAGTCCCTTCCAACTCTGTTATTCTATTCCAGAGGTCAGCAACCCGCGGCTCTGGAGCCACATGTGGCTCTTTCATCCCTCTATTGCGGCTCCCTGTTGCTGGTCTGCTCCACAATAGATAGGGCTTTCGGTTAGGACAGGTAGAGGGAAAAGGATGCCGTCCTAGGAGGAGACTCTAGGGTGGGAGAACCGGACTTCCGGTCAGCAGAGGAAAAAGGACACTGCGCTAGGAGGAGTCTATGATGGGGGAACTGGACTTCTGGTTGGCTCCAGAATTGAATGGGGGCTTCTGGTTAGGACCTTTGTGGCTCTTGGCAACTTAACTTAAACTTGGCAACTTTAAGATTGATTCAGAATTGGATCAATCCTTCTTGAATACCTTCCAGATGTGTTGGAACTGCGACTCCTAAATTTATTTATTTGTTGGGTTTTTATTATTTTATTATTCCTAGGCCCCATAATCCAAAAATTCTTGAATTAAATTAATGATGCTAAAGCAAAGCATCCATAAAGAAAATAATAAGAAAACAGAAAGTAATAGTTAAAATTATTATGTTCCACAATATCTTGGAAAGTCACCCCAAATAAGTCCAAAAACATAATCAATAAATATATTGTGACATATATTTCCTAAAATAACTTGGCTTTCAATTGTTCCTGAAAAACTAAGGTAGAGGAGGGCTGGTCATGTTTGAAGAAGAAGGAGGTACCAGAGACAGATACAGCATTAGAAAAACAAAGTTGCAAATCTCCATTCGCTTTTACCTTAGGGAACTGGAGAACTACTAGCAGCTCTTCCCATGTCATATATATTGGGCAGGTTCTCCTGTGTGGAGAAGATCTTCCTGGAGAAGTCCATGCACAGCAAGGACTCAGGTACATCTGTTGGATAACAGATTGGAAATAGGCACACTAGTTCCACCAGTTCAGCAGGACCATTTGTTTATTTTAATAAAATGTATAGCTTGCTCCAGCCTGCTATAACTTTGGAAGGCTTATATAATACCATCGTATAGGTACAGTACAGGGGTGAAATGTAAAATTTGTTACTACCGGTTCTGTGGGCGTGGCTTGGTGGTGGTGGGGTAATGTGACTGGGTGTGCGTGGCCAACTTTTTTTTTTTTTTTTAACTTTTCAAAGCATTTTTTCTAATGCTTTGAAAAGCCTCTGACGATCAGGAAACTCAGCTGGGATCGTCAGAGACTTTTCAAAGGATTTTTTTTACCAATGACTCTTCGGCCAAGAGGTTGCAGAAAAAAATGCTTTGAAAAGCCTCTGACTATCCCAGCTGAGCTGCGCGATCATCAAAGGCTTTTTTTTTTACTTTTAAAAGCATTTTTTCGTCGGAAGAGGTTGTAGAAAAAATACTTTTAAAAGTAAAAAAAACCAGCCTCTGATGATCCTGCGGCTCAGCTGGGCATGGTGGGGGGGTGGGGGCGTAGGGATTTTTGCTGTTGGTTCTCCAAACCACCCGCCGCTACCGGATCAAGCAATCCGGTCTGAACTGGGAGCATTTCACCCCTGGTACAGTAGTACAATAGTCCTCAATTTATGACTAGAATTGACCCCCAACATTTCTGTTGCTAACCGAGACAGTTGTTGTGAATTTTGTCCCATTTTATAACTTTTCTTGCCACAGTTGTTAAGTGAATTAGTATAATTGTTAAGTTAGTAACAGGGTTGTTAAGTGAATCTGGCTTCTCCATTGTCTTTGCTTGTCAGAAGGTCACAAAAGGTGATACACATGACCCAGGGACACTGCAACCGTCATAAATATGAGTCAGTTGCTAAGTGTCTGAATTTTGACTACGTGACCATGGGGATGCTGCAACCATCGTGTGAATAACAGTCGTAAGTCACTTTTTCCAGTGCTGTCGTAACTTCGAATGGTTTCTAAATGAACTGTTGTAAGTTGAGGACTACCTGTGTTGCAGCCTGAATCTGTAATCGGGATCTGAAATTCATTAGTAAGATGTTGCTGATTTTGCTGTTCTATGAAAGACAAGAGCCTTTCTTTTTAGAAAAGTTGTGTTGCTCCTGAAAAGCATAATATTTGAATAGTTTGATTAACTGTGTTTGTAAAATATTTAGAAATCAATGCATAGCTATCTACTCCATTAATTATTTGTCCAGTTCCACCACAAAACCAAGGGAGAAGCACGTTTACCCATAAGTGAGGAAAGGTTCTTCATTCCTTTATGGACATCTGGGAAGGATTCCAATTCCTCTAAATTCTGTATTCAATTATTAAAAACCTCTTTTTTCGAGTCCGGCAATCACAATTAATGTTGACCCAGCAGAGTTTAACTAGGAGACGGTAATAGCATGGGGCTTTATAGCACTGGAGGAGTGTTTATTTTAAGCCTCTTATAGATATTTATGAAACAATGATTCATTTATTTGAACGAAAACCAAAAAGAAGACAAGCTGGATTTGAAATAAGGCAGTTTCACCTTGAGCAAGTGTGGCTGTTTCCAATGTCACTGAAGGAATCCCTGAAAGATTTACAGCTGCTAATTTGGTCAGAGGTCACAGGAGACTGAGAATTCAGGCAGATTTCCACAGATTCTTCTCTTTCCTTTCTGGCTTCCCAGAATGACAAATACTAGAGAGTACAACCTGTCTCTCCAGCACATTACATAAGCTAGCATCGTTCAGTCTAGCACTCACCAGCTGTGGACCACTATTTGCACTTCACAAGATGTGCCAACAAGATGTGCTTGCAAACAATTAAACCATAGTAGAAGCTTCAGTCATTTCCCCTTTGTTTGAACTAAGTGGCCCAGAGTACAATCCTACTGGTGTGTGCAAAGCATAATTCCTGTCAGACACATTTCAGGTTTTTTCCCCCCACTCTGCTTCGACCCTCTGGTTTGATCCATGTGCAAGCAGGACACATCTGAGGTTCTAATATGTGGCACAGTGGTTAGAGTGCAGTACTGCAGGTTACTTCTGCTGACTGCCGGCTGACTGCAATTTGGCAGCTGAAATCTCACCAGGCTCAAGGTTGACTCAGCCTTCCGAGGTGGGTTGGGGACCCAAATTGTTGACAGCAATATGCTGACTCTGTAAACTGCTTAAAGAGGCCTGTAAAGCACTGTAAAGTAGTATATAAGTCTAAGTGCTATTGCTGTTGCTATGTGCAGATAATTTAACAACCATGAACTGGCCTGAACTAGTTCGAGAGTCCCCCTTATCTGGGCACCCAAGTCTGGGAAAGATAGTATAAAACCTCTATTTTTTTCTAGATAACTTGTGGTCCCTTCCTTCCTTCTAACCACATCATATTTAGCAGCACTATTTTTTTTTTCAAATGTCTTTCCATGCCATTGACTTTATCTTGTCCACAGTCCATGACTGAGGCAGCTTTAAGTGATTCTTTGCTGCACTTGTGGTGAAGCAGCATTTCCTCCTTTACATTAACACATCTGACCACAGCCTCAGAGTGTGTAAAATGTTTTAGGTTTTGTAACACATTATTTTGGAGGGATGTCAGGTAATTCTAGTGATGTGAAATCTAGTATTCCTCAGAAGGACTGTCAACAGAGACATTAATTTTGTATTGATAATTGGTTTTTTGAAGACTCAAGGATGGGTGCACTTCAGCTCTGCATTGGGGAAAGGTCCCATGTATGCTTTGTGCTTAACATATATAACAACCCATAGTAATATGGCAATTTGAATTTTGTCCCAAGACAACACTTCAAAGGGGTGGCAGAGGGACATGGAGGGCGAGCAGCCGATGCTCTTTGCTACTCCTCCATCCTGATTGATAAGTCACTGAAGTGGAGAAGAGTTGTGTGTATTATAACAGAAGGTGTTGCTCCATCCCATGTCTCCCAACCCCTTTCTCTGATCCACTGATCTGTCAACTAAGCTGTTTTGAGACAAAGATGTAATGTTCTACTGGAAGAATAGACCAGTGATTGAATTCAGCTGGTTCGGACCGGTTTAGGCGAACCAGTAGTTAAATTGCTGGCTGGCCCCACCTCTTCCTGCCCCACCCCTTCCAGGAGTCCCCATGCACCCCATTTAGGCTCCCAGGTAAGTGCAGGGAGGCCTCCTAGGCCCAAAATGGGACACGGGGGCGGCGTATCCCCCTGTGCCCCGTTTTTGCTCCCAAGGAGGTGCAGGAGGCCAAATGCTGCCTGTCACACCCCCTGGCCGCGCCCACCAAGCGACACCCACAGAACCGGTAGTAAAAAAAAATTGAATGCCACCACTAGAATAATCCAATGTTCACAAGCAGTCTGAGCAGCAGGTCAGCAATGTGGATTTTCCAACACTGATGATCTACCAGCAGGGCATCTTGAAAAGTCTCCATCCCAGGAAACTGCCCACAATTGTCTAAGTCTGTCCCGCTATATGTTAAGAGCAGCAACTGGAAGTGGCTTTTCCTGTCTATGGGTGAAGAGAAGATGCAGCCAGGAAAGTGCACCAATTATTGTCCTTAAATTATTCCATATTAAAACTATAAGGACCAACCTATTTTCAAGTCTTGTGCAATAGTGGTGAATATATATAGCTCATGTGTAGGATGAGAATGAAGGTTTGTTCTCTGAGCTTGTGGGTTGGTTTCTGAACTTTTTGTTACCAAGCTAGGTAACATCTTCAGTGGAGTTTAGGGGATGTCAGTGTTCCTCTGTTTATAAGGCTTCAGGTGTGTGTGCGTCAAGAGAGGGTCTTGTGAGGGCTGACCCATCACAAGACCCTCCCTTGACACACCCACACTTGAAGCTCTTATAAACAAAGGAACACTGACACTGACATCCCCTAAATTCCATTGAAGATGTTACCTAGTTTGGTAATCAAATGTTCGGAAACCGCTTGGAAAACAAACCTTTGCCCTCTTTCAAGCCTTATCAATGAAACAGAATATAAGTTCAGCCATCTATGCAATGTAATTTATGTCAGTATACAGAACTATTGAATCAGGGATGGGAAGAATTATGCCAGCATAGCTGTGAGGAAATGCCCAGTGACTAATTGCAACTTTCTCTGGGTGGAGTTCAAAATGATTTACAAAAGAAGGGAAGTCTTAAAGAAGACTTACCAAAAAAATCAACAAGGTTTCAAACTATTGTTAACTCTAATAGTGTATCTAAGTTCACTAAAAAATACTCAGAAAAGGAAAAGAAATAACAAGTTTAAAAGCAGTCGTTCCCTCTATCTATCTATCTATCTATCTATCTATCTATCTATCTATCTCTATCTATCTATCTATCTATCTATCTATCTATCTATCTATCTATCTATCTTGTATATTATTTTTTTTCAAATAACTCAAGACAATGAACATATCTAGCACACCTTCTTCCTCCTATTTTCCCCACACAACAACTACCCTTTCCTGCGCGAACTGCACTGGCTCCCAGTGGTCTTCCGGGTGCGATTCAAGGTGTTGGTTACCACCTTTAAAGCGCTCCATGGCTCAGGACCTGGGTATCTACGAGACCACCTTCTGCCACCGATAGCCTCCCACCGTCCAGTTCGCTCCCACAGAGAAGGACTCCTCAGGGTGCCGTCGGCCAAATTATGTCAGCTGGCAACACCCAGGGGGAGAGCCTCCTCTGTGGGAGGCCCTGCCCTTTGGCATGAACTGCCCCCGGACATATGCAAGATCTCTGACCTCCGAGTTTTCCACTGTGCTCTTAGGACCCTGCTCTTCCGACAGGCAGGGCTAGCTTCATAAATTGAGTTTTAAATTTGGAATTCTTAAATTTTGGGTTTTTTTTAGTTAATTGGCCTTAAATGTAATACTTTTAATAATTCTTTAAATTTAAATTGTGATATTTGTATTGTGTTTTTACCTGGCTGTACACCGCCCCGAGTCCTTCGGGAGAGGGGCGGTATAGAAATAAAATTATCCTTATCCTTATCCTTATTCTCTGAGGTGAGTTGGGCTGTGAAAGAGTGACTGGCCCAAGGTCAGGCAGCTGGCTTTCATTATTGTTTTTGGCAGCTAGTATTTAAGTTACGGCTGAGATTCTGACTTCCATTAAAGAAACTAGCAACCACTAATAGTTCTTTTCCCAGTGAATTTATCTAGTTCTTCCCAAATGATCAAAATCAGTACGATTATTGCATAAGAGAACAAATTGCACATTATGGTTCTGGTTTAGTTCTCTGTTCAAATATATGATGGATGAACCCAGGTACTAATATTCAGGAATATTGGAGTGAGGGGAGAGTCGATGACTCTATTATGTCTCCTATCATTATAATCAAGTACCTTATATCAAGTATTGCCATTTCATTCTGTTGGCTCTCTCTCCACACTCAAGAAAGCTTCCTCTGTAATCACAGAATATGGAAATATAGTACAAAGAAAAAATTTCACCAAAAATTATTGGAATAATGAAGTCTTTCTTCTCTTTAGTAATCATATTTTATGCTTTTGCAAAACAAGGTGATTGAATATTATGACATTTCTATTGATACCATAAGGTACAATTTATAAAGAAAGCCTTAATGCTTTTAAGCTCTGCTACCTAACCTAGATATTTTCCTTTTTATCATATATTCTCATGATTGTTTGAGTTTTGCATAAAAAGAGTATTTAAGGTTGCATCTGAGTATAAATCTCAGCTTGAAAAGTAATTTATTATGAGGTTTTCTGACATATAGGGAAATATTTTAAAAATCCAATGGCTCTGTTCTAAAATCCACTTAAGCATGCTTAAGCCTATTGATTACGGTGGGCTTAAAGCATGATTTAATCTGTTTTGGACTGTGAATGGTGAGAACATCTGGAAACAGAAGATTATCTCATAGCATGTCACTTCAATATTGGTATACTTTTGAACTCAGTTTGACTATCATATTTTGTGTAAACTTTTGTATAGTAAGCATTTACAACAGTCAGATCTCTTCCATAATTAGATGTTCATTTTTTTCTTATATTATAAGATAACTCTTTCCATAATTTCATGGTATACTAGCTGGTCAGAATCCTATTCCTTTCTCCATGCTATGTTTGTCTGTAATGGAGCACTGTTACAGCTGACTTACTCTACAAAAATGTATTTTTTATAACACAAAACACTGAGTACTATTTCTTCATAAAGCATACCTCATTTGCTGCCATGAAATGAGGTAGTGGCTACCAGCTTACCAGTAGCTTTAAAAGAAAAGAAGTAAATTCATGGAAATAGAGTCAAAATGTTATGTTTAATGGCATACTAGTCATTAGGGAGAAGGAGAGGATGAATCTTGTCATGTCCTGTTTATGAAATCCTCAGAGTGTCTGGATGGCATTTATAGAAACAGTTTTCGGAGTCATCAAACTGTGCTGTCCTTGGGTTCATACCTCAGACAATTTATCCAAATCTGATGAAGACAATGAAGTTAGTGAAATCTGGAAATCTGGATTGCAGCCAAATCAGTTTGTATGTTTATATCATCTGTAGCATTTATTCTAATTCACATTTTGGCAATTGTAAGAACAAAATGCTCTACAATGATTTGGATAAGGCCTGGTTAATTCATGAACGGGTTATTTGGATTGCACAACTAAGTTACACTTCCTTAAATTCAAGCAAGTGTTGTCTCCCACATACTTTTGAATGAATCAACTCTGTTCTCGTTTTAGGGAAGCCTCATGGAGCAGATGACTTCCTCCCAGTGCTCATGTATGTTCTGGCCCGCAGTGATCTGACAGAGATGATTCTCAATGTAGAGTATATGATGGAACTTATGGACCCTGCTCTGCAGCTGGGTGAAGGTATGAAAGAACTCCAGTGTATTGATGCAATGCAGGAGTGGCCAGTTTGCAGGCCACATGAGGCTTATCCAGATCCTTTCTTGCCACACACCCCAGATCTCATCAACATTGCATGTTTAATGGAAAATAAAAACATTTGGTAGATTTCCAGGATTAAAAATAATAATAATAAGATCCATGCACAAAATTTCAGATAAACCTAATCCACATTAACCTCCCTAACCTAACCCCAAAAGGAAAAATAAAAACCAACCAAAATTTACAAGCACATATTTCTTGGTGATGTCACTAAAGCAGCATTAAGCCTTACAGTAGAGGGTGTCCAACCTTGACAATTTTAAGATTTGTGGACTGCAACTTCCATGCTGGCTGGGGAATTCTGGAAATTGAAGTCCACAAGTCTTGAAGTTGCCAAGGTTTGGACAGACCTACCGTACATCCTTTTGGGGTAGAATGAAAAACATATGGGCTCCTACCTATGGTGGTGGGAGAACATATCAATGAGAGTAAAATGGAACATGCCTAATAAACTATTTTTATCTTGGCTAATAGTCACAAGCTAAGTAGGATCAATCCTGTTCAGTTTTACATAGGGAGACCACTAGGGAAATGAGCAATCTAGACAAGACTAGAAAGAAGAGAAGGGCAAACAACTTCCATACCATTGCCAAGACAATAACATGAATGCACCCATGATGTTACAGAAAATTAGGCACAACTTTAAAAAAGCTATTTTATTCTCATTGAACATCCACTCTCAAGGCTGCATATATCTGCATATTTTTTATAGATTTATTTTTATATAATATCAACCATCACATGCTCTAGTCTAGCAGGACTGAAGCCATATACAGAGTGACAACAGGAAAATGACATTAGCCACGAGAAATTGACATAATCAATAAAGTTAGTTAAGTTTGCAGAATGAAAAAAATACCTCTAGATACCAAGAGGAGGAATGGACTTGGGCTGTGCAACAATTTAATTGGGGAATCTTAGCTGGGAGCTATGAAACAAACAGCACTTCATATAAGGAAGTGAGCTGAGTAGTTGAAAAACTAGACCACAATCAAGAAGTATCAAATTCAGATCTCATTTCTGCCATAAACGTATTGCATGACCTATATGAGGAGACTCCTTCTGTCAATTAGGTAATGAAACACGCCTAAACATCTTATATACCGGTAAATTGTGATTATTGTTATTATTCAATCATTCCACCACAGAAGAATGGTGGAAGAATTTGTATAGAGTAAAATACAGTATAGGTGGATTTAAAAGATAATTTTAAAAATAATAAAATGCTCACAAATATTTGTGTGTGTGTGTGTTTTATTTTTATGTATGTATTATATTAGGGCCATATTTCAGATTTGATCTGGAAAGCACAAGTGTTTGAATTCTCTGTAGATTTTTACTTCCATCTGTGATTATTTGGATTTTTATAACTGTTTTTAGAGTATTATACAGGTAGTCCTTGATTTATGATCGAATTGAGCCCCAATTTTCTGTTACTAAGCGAGACATTTGTTAAGTGAGTTTTGCCCCATTTAATTACCTTTCTTGCCACAGTTGATAAGTTCTTAATTCAACTTATCAACTTCCTCATAGCTTCCTCATTGATTTTGCTGGTCAGAAGGTTATAAAAGATGATCACATGAAACTGGGACACTGCAACCGTCATAATTTTGAACCAGTTGCCAAGCATCTGAATTTTGATCAGGTGGCTATGGGGATGCTGCAACAGTTATAAGTATGGAAAATGGTCATAAGTCACTTTTTTCAGTGCCCTTGTAACTTCAAACAGTCATTAAATGAAGTCAAGGACTCCTGTATAGCATTGTGACTGGGAGGTAACTGGAATTGTCTGTTTCTCTGTTATACTTGCCACTCGAGAATGAAGGAAGTGGAATAAAAATGAAAATAATAAATAGCAACATAAAAATAACTGTTTTATTTCAAGAATATTCATCTGCTTCATTCAGTATGTCTTTGAAAATTAAATGTGCTTTATTGGGCCTCCCTAATCTGGTCTACTGTAATATAAATAGAACAGAACAGAACAGAAAAGAACAGAACAGAACAGAACAGAACAGAATTTTTTATTGGCCAAGTGTGATTGGACACACAAGGAATTTGTCTTGGTGCATATGCTCTCAGTGTACATGAAAGAAAAAATACATTCATCAAGAATCATAAGGTACAACACTTAATGATAGTCATAGGGTACAAATAAGCAGTCAGGAACAATATCAATATAAATCATAAGGATACAAGCAACAAAGTTACAGTCATACAGTCATAAGTGGAAGGAGATGGGTGGTGGGAACGATGAGAAGATTAATAGTAGTGCAGACTTAGTAACTAGTTTGAAGTGTTGAGGGAAATATTTGTTTAGCAGAGTGATGGTGTTCAGGAAAAAACTGTTCTTGTGTCTAGTTGTTCTGGTGTGCAGTGCTCTATAGCGTTGTTTTGAGGTAGGAGTTGAAACAGTTTATGTCCAGGATGTGAGGGGTCTGTAAATATTTTCACATCCCTCTTGAATGATCACTAGAAAGCAGCAAAGAGAGAGAATTGTTTTTCCTATGTCTTTGCTGTTAGTAATTTGGATTTTTGCAGCTCATATTTGTTACTGTATGTTTTTATGAGGACACTGACAAATGATTTTGGCCCCTACTCATGGGCCCCAGAAATCCCTGTAGAGGCACTAGGCACGTGCTTTTGCCTAGGTAATATTTAATCATGGCCCAAAGGGAGTTCATGCACTTGAAAAGGGAATGAAAGAGAAGTAGAAAAAACAAAAAAGAAACCATGGCACTTTAAGAATGAAAGTAATGTGGATTTATCAGACCAGAGCCCTTCATATTAAAGAGGACTCCTAGCAAACAATCGTGTTCTTTTCTATTTAGGGAAAAAAATCTCATTGACTTTAGAAAAGTTTATTTCCCTGTACTTCCTTGTACAGGATTCCCGGTTAGTCTCTAATATTCTATTCAGGATGTTGTTTTCACTGTAAAAGTACAAATACAACTTCCTTTCGGGAAATTGTAAGTGGCTCTCCCAACAGCTTGGCTGCAGTATTCTGAAAACAGATCTTTCTTCTGAAAATAATGATCACAACAACAACAAAAACTTGCCAGACTGCCAGAAATACAGACACCTGTCTGATATTTTCTCTTTGCAGTAGTTCAGTTATGGCTACTATACCTGGGCAGCTACAACTGCAGTTACAGATAAACACAAGGCCTGAATTTAGGAGGAATAGTTCAGTGGTAAGAAAGGTTAAGAAATTAGCCTGGGATTAAAAAAGCCCATCTTCCAGTGGTGGGTTGCCCCCTGTTCGGTTCTATAGAATCAGTAGTAAAACCGTCGGGAGGCTCTGCCCACCGGCTCTGACATCATCAAAACACTTCTGCGCATGCGCAGAAGATGCCTCACAGGGTTGTTTCTATGAATAAAATTAAGAGAGAGCCACATGGAAGATACCTTACATTCTCACACAAAAATAATGATATTAATACATTAAAAAAAATAAAAGAGGAGAAAAAGCAAAAAAGATGAATAAGAATTAACAGACATTAGATATTCTTGTACAGATTCTTTTCTGGACCTCTTTTGTGGATTAGTCTTACGCTATACAGGCAGTCCTCAATTTATGACCACAACTGAGTCCAGAATTTATGTTGTTAAGTGAAACATTTGTTAAGTGCCCCATTTTACGACTTTTCTAGCTACAGTTGTTAAGTGAATAATTGCAGTTGTTAAGTTAGTAACACAGTTGTTAAATGAATCTGGCTTCCCTGTGGACTTTGCTAGTCAGCAGGTCGAAAAAGCGGTTCCCATGACCCCAGGACACTGACACCATCATAAATATGACCCAGTTGCCAAGCATCCAAATTTTGATCACATGACCATGGCGATGCTGTAACGGTTGTGAGTCTGAAAAATGGTCATAAGTCACTTTTTTCAATGCCATTGTAACTTTGAATGGTCACGAAACGAAGGACTACCTGTAGTTATTAGCTGGAAGGATTTTTTTTTGGCTTTCAGCTATGATATTTTCCATATTTATAATATTTTGTTTGGTCTGTCAGCATTCCAGAAAGTCCCCAACTCTTGTTAGTCAGGTTTTTTTTTTTTTAATTTAATTTATATGCCGCCCTTCTCTGGAGATTCAGGGCGGCTTACAATGCATTAAGCAATAACCTTCATACTTTTGTATATTTATACAAAGTCACCTTATTGCCCTCATAATCTGGGTCCTCATTTTACATACCTTAGAAAGGATGGAAGGCTGAGTCAACCTTGAGCCTGGTGAGATTTGAACTTGCAGTAATTGCAGGCAGCAGATGTAAGTGGATGTTAATTAGTCTGCTGAGCCACCAGAGGTCCTACATCTTCTAGCTGTAGAGTATTTGTTGATGGTGGGCATATAAGCGTATTGCATCAATGGACAAAGATATGTTGCATAAACATACAGTATATCAGATATATCTGCATACTTGGGAGTTGTTTTCACATGCAAGAGGACACTTAATTTAATATGTAGATGGTGCAATACTAAGTTGGACAAGGCTAAAAATACTCCTTTACTTCCCCTTCAGCCATATTGCAAAAATGCTAGGCAGCGCTTCCAGTGAACAGATGGAGGTGCACAAACTCAATTTATAAAAAGAAGAGGGAAACATTCAAAGAATGAAGAAATAGTTGGGATGGAGACTTTTCAAAACTGTGTGCCAAATATTATGGAAATATTTGCATCTCTGGAAGTAAATGAAATCATTCGGAAGGAGAAAATAGAGTGCTGGTTTAGGGAAGACAAACAGGAAGGAATGCAGCTCCTTGGGCTATTTGAAATGACAAATGCAACAAGGATTTAATGTCTCCTTCAGTGTGTCTTAACTTGTCCTTATAACATGTTTGTAAGGACAATCAAGACAAAAGGTTACAAATATGCAACATATCAGAATTAACAAACTGAAAAATCTCTGTAATAAGCACAATATAAGGTTACTTCCCCAAAGAGATTGGTAGAACAATATTTCAGTGTCCATCAATTCTTATTTTTCTTTCTTGCCTGTTGTAAGAGTGCCATCTGTTGTTCAGTTCCACTACATTTTCATTGTCTTAAACCCAGTGAATTGATTTGAAATCAAACCTGAGTATCTCTCTATCCCAACCAGAATGATCCCCCAGATGTCCATGCTATGTTTTCACAAATGCTCCCCTCCATATTTAAATTTTGTTTGTTGGTTGGTTTAATTTAAAACATTTATATAGCCATTCTATAACTGGTAGCTTTTTGATAGTATTAAAATAAGCCATGAAGTGCAAAGGAATAAAAATTGCTCAGTGTATGTTTATGCTTCTTCATTTTTCCTAGGTTCTTATTATTTAATCACTACTTATGGGGCAGTAGAGCTTATCAAAAGCTATGATAAGATCGCGGTCACTCGACAACTAAGCACTGAAGTTCAAGATTCAATCCACCGCTGGGAGAGACGGAGAACACTTAACAAAGCCCGGGCATCTCGATCGTCTGTTCAGGTTAGGAAAGTGTGGATTTTATGCATTGATCATCTTAGTCAGCTTTAAAAGAATTGCATATCTTTTTTGAGCAAAGTTTCCAGTAGAGTTTAAAAGCAGAAAGAGTTGGTAGAACTCTCCTTAACAATTTTGTAATGCATAAGACCTAATAAGCAGAGCTTTGGAAAATAAATAAGACTCAAATTAAGTACCTAGATAACATCTAATGAATAATAGGATTTTTATCATAACTATTTTTAAAGCTTGGGAGAATAAAAGCATTTCTACTTTGCACTGGATGGATAAGAATGAGTTATGAGTAGGGCGCCATCACTAAGAGAGTTCTTTTTCTGATCGCCACCCTGTAACCATTCTAGAAAAAGGACTGGGGTGATATGATAGCAGTATTCCAATATTTGGGGGGCTGCCACAAAGAAGAGAGGGTCAACATATTTTCCAAAGTACCAGAGGACAGGAAAAGAAATAACGGGCGGAAACTAATCAAGGAGATAAGCAACCTGGAACAGTATTCAGGCCAGGAAGCCACAGTATGGACAGAACGTTGAAAGATTGGCCAAGGAATGTGACATGACTGTACAGTATACTCTCCCCTGATTTATTCAACCTATACACTTAACATATATTAAGGAACATATATTAGAAAAAGATAAGTATGGTTTCAAAACTGGAGGAAGACAATGAAAACTTAGATTGCACTGTGAAACATAAGGATACTTCAGTGACAATGAAAGTTAGAATAATTAGAACAATTCTGTGGTAATATGTAGTCACCCAGAGTTGCTTTGGATAATGAGATGGACAGCATATAAATTTAATAAATAAAATAAAATGAAGGCTGGCATTGAAAAAATAGATAAAAGGATGAATGCTTTTGAATAATGGAGGTGAAGAATGTTCCTAAGAAAATATGGACTGCAAGCAGCCAATCAATGAGTCATGGATCAAATAAAAGCTGCTGTCCTCGAGGCAATGATCAACAGAAAGAAATTGATCCACTTTAGGTATACAATGGGCAAGTTGATAGATTAGAAAAAATGATCATACTTAACTACATCAAAGGAATAAAAGGGGAACAATAGAGCCCCAATGTTCTTTTGATCTGAAGGCAAATGACATTGTAGAAGAGACAAGGAGCAAAGATGATTAGAGGTCTCAAGGAGAAACTGTATGGTGAATGATTGCGGAAACTAGGTATGTTTAGTCTAACAAAGAGAAAGATTAGGGGTGTCATGATAGCAGTCTCCCAATATTTAAGGGGCTGTCACAGAGAAGAGGGAGTCAATCTGTTATCCAAAGCACCTGAAGGCAAGACAAGAAGTAATGAATGAAACATTATGAAAAAAAAAAAATTCAACCGAGAATTAAGGAGAAATTTCCTAACAGTAAGAACAATTAATTATTGGGACAGTGATCTGTCCCCGTCCCCACACACACACAACACAGCCAGCCGAGGGTTAAGGAAACACTTTGGAACGCACCCAGTTCTTATCTCCCTCTTGGCAGCGATAGACACACCGTCTGCCAAGGGACTTTATTTTCACAAACAGACAGATAAGATAAGAACGTTCAAGAAAGTCCAAACAGAAATAATATTCCTCCCAGCAGTTCCGGACGAGGCTTTAGTGACTGTCCAAGGTTTACTTTGTTCATCACAAAAGATCCTTGACCACCACCCTCTATTATATAGTCTCTGGGGTGTGGTCCAGTGACTCAGTTCTAATCCCTAGCACGTCTCCCAAGCTGCTGCAAACGTTTATCACGCCTTCGGAGGCGTGCGTCCAGGAATGATGTTTCATTATCACTTTGATTCGAATCAGCTGTCTCCTCTCCCTCGACCGGCACTTGAGACAATGCCAGAGGGGAGGGGCCTGGAGAGGGAGGCCTGGCTGACTCCTCTTCCTCATGCTCGGAGCTTTCTTCCTCTGATGGGACAGGCTCAGAGGGCGGGGCCACAACAGACAGTTTATCTCCAGAGACTATGGTTACTCCAACATTGGAAATTTTTAAAAAGAGTTTAGATGGCCGCTTGGATGGAATAGTATAGGGTCTCCTGCAGTGGTGAAATCCACTTACCTTCGTTACCAGTTCAGGAATGGGAGTGTGGGGGAGTGCCTCTTCTGCGCATGCACAGAACCTTCTGTGCATGCGCAGATTGTAAAAAAAGGGACATAATGACGTCCCGGGGGGGGTGGAGCCTCCCGTCGCCTATGCTACTGGTTTGGCGAGCCGGATAGAACCCGGGGGGGGGATTTCACCGCTAGTCTCCTGCTCAAGCAAGGGGTTGAACTAGAAGAATTCCAGGGTCCCTTCTTTTTTCTGTCATTCTGTTATTCTATTAAAGTCTGTGTGGATACATACAGCATCTGTCATCAACCCTTTAAATCAAAAGCATCTTTTCCTGGGACAATGCTGCAGGTGGAAAAGTAGCTGTACCCAATTCTGGGTAAAGATGGCACTGCTTTGAAGGAGTTTAGGACAGTCTTATATGAGCATCAACTGTATGGTCTGAAATGCCTTTTTGCCTTTGAAACCAAGGCACTGCACAGCCTGGAAAAACAATGGCTAAGGCTGATGAATAGTATCAAGGCGATTGATCAAAAGTCCTTCGAATAGTTAGGTGTTGTTGTTAAAAAACAGACAATGATAGTGAGAATCTGATGGTGCAAGCATTACGAAACCTGACTCAGTGACACCTACAGTATTTGTAACTTTTGACCTGCCCTAATGCAGTTTAATATTTAAGATTTCCTGCCTTTCAACCTCAAGGTGGCAGCAAACACTATTTTTTTTTTTCAAATAACAAGCTTTGCATGTCTATATCCAGGGAGTGTCTTGCTTTTGTGCTATTTGTACACATTGTAAATAGTTCTTCAGGTATTACAATCAAAAGTTGCCTTCTGAATCTCAAATCTTTTCAAGCTATGAGGAATTTGATCAAAACAAATGATTTTATCTGGCTGAAGACCGTTGGCCTATCTTGCTATGCATTGTCTAGCCTGATTATCAGTTCCTTTTATTTCCCCATGTTAAATATTAAATTTCAAGATCAAACATTAAAATACAATCTAACATAAAAGGGAGAAGGGAGAATGGAATAACAATACAAAGTAAAAGTGACAGAAAAAAAATACAGCAACCAAATTTCTAACAAATATGACCTTCAACTTTCTTTTAGTGCAGAGAAAATAATCATATAGCAACCTCTCTCTAAATTTAAACAGATAATATTAATAAAGTCCTGATAATTAACACTCTAAAATGCCAATGTTCTTAAAATATTCTTCTAACTTGAACAAATATTAAATTTAAATTATTAAATATTAAATAAAATAAAATATTAAATATATAAAATTTATATTTTAAAAGCTACAATAAGACCACATAGTAAGTGGTCGACTTACGACCAGAGTTGAGCCCAAAATTTCTGTTGCTAAGCAAGACAATTGTGAAGTGAGTTTTGTCTCATTTTTTTTGACCTTTCTTGCCACATTTGTTAAATGAATCACTGGAGTTATTAAGTTAGTAACACAGTTGTTAAGTGAGTCTGGCTTCCTCATTGACTTTGCTTGTCAGACATCGGGACACAGCAACTGTCATAAATATGAACTATGTCTGAATTTTGATCATGTGACCATGGGGATATTGCAACAGTCATAAGTGTGAAAAATGGTTATAATTCCCTTTTCAGTCCCGTTGTAACTTTGAACAGTCACTAAATGAACTATTGTACGTTGAGGATTACTTGTAGACTTTTTGGCTGCTTTCTTGCAAAAGAATTCCTCAGCTTCATAGTTTCAGGCAAGAGGTTTTCCCAGCCCTGTCAGAGGTGGAGTTAAATCTGGGGCTTTCTGCATGGAAAGCATTCATTACTTAGTTTCACTAAAGCTTAGAACACGTGAATCTTTAATCTTTTGAAGAAATCCAACACACTCTGCTTCCTCAGATCATATAACTAAAAATCATTAACTCCTTCCACATTTCCATACAGGACTTGACTTTCAATTACTACTTAACTATCTTAATCCAAGCTTATACTAAAGCTAATACTGCTGAACCTCTGCAGTCTACTCTTATATACTTGTCCCATATTTTAATGTTTTCTTCCACATTTTTAAACCTTTAAAATCACATTTTTACCATAGTATCATTTCTGTGTTAACTTTTAGAAATTTATTAAAAGCAGTTGGTTAGTTTTTAATGAATTGTATCCCGATTTTTGATGGTGAAAAGGCCCGACAGGAATTTTATGCATAAATAGGGTTGCATTTTAATAGAGTCAGCATGAGTATTGATGTTATTTCAAAAGTTATCTTCCTTTATTTCCAGGATTTCATTGCCATTTCTTTTATGGAGGCTGAGGCCAAAACAAGGACACTGGCATATCGGACCGACTCCACGACTCATCAGCTAATTCAGCAGTGCGCTGAGAAATTTGAAGTCTCAGAGCCCCAGGACTACGGACTGTTTGTCCAAGTGGATAACAAAACTATGCAGATGGATGACGATGCCCTCCCTCACCAGATCAAATCCCATCTCCTGAATAAAGAGCCCAGGCTGACTTTCTGCTTTATTTATAAACAACTTGGTGGAGAAGAGTCACCAGTTCCCGTTATCAAGGACACAGGTGCCTTGTAGCAGCAAGGCTACTCTCTTGAAGCAAACTTGGTTTAGATGTTTTTTCTTCCAAATCATCTCCTCCAGCAGCAGAAACTTTCCAAAATACAGTTTCTTCTCTGAGTGGTGACATGGATAGCATATGCAATCCTCCTCTGGGGCATTTACTTTACAGAATTCGTTTGCAGTCATAAATGGAATAGCCAAGGAAAGTTCATTCTTGGAAAGGGGGAAAAAAGCATTTGAATAGTAGTTTGGAGATTCAAACCATGAATCTGATATAGTGTTCATGCCAGATTCCTTGGCACAAAGTAAATGGTCTTGAAGTTATGGACTTCCTGGCAAATTGTTAGACATTGTAGCATCATCTCCTCAATGTATAACAGAAAGGGTGCAAGTTGTTTTTGATGGTCATCACAGAAAATCCAAATGGATTGGATTTCCCTTTAGTAGAACAAAAATTAATAATGAATTAAGTAGCTCAGAGTGATTAGATTCTCACATATCTGGCCTAAGATGGCCTACAATGCCCAACTAATGGTAACTGACGTGGGGGGCTATAGAGGTCTGTGCACTTACATAAAATCTCAGTGTATCAATATAGCATCTACTGATATTAACAAAAGAAATCTGAGTGGCCAACTCTCATGCTCTTTCTATGCCTTTGTTATATTCTCTAGTTGCACACATTGTATCTCAGCCAATTCACAGCCATCTTTATATTTCCAGGTACTGTACAAAATAATTTGCCATGAAGATACAATTGACAATCAAGAGTCTGGCCATAAATTAATGTAGAAATGTTTTCATTCCATGTCTCCTCTATCAATTATCGTTCATAAATTCATTCTTAGGAGTGTTATCACAAAGCAGTTTTGCATCAGTAATTTACTTCTCAAAGGAGAAGAACTATATGCCCAAACTAGAAGCTTTACTTTTGCATGCCAAACCCTCTATATAGGACTGACAATGATACCTGTTAAAAACCAGGGAGAACCGTTGGCAGTCAGATTAGGTGTGTGTCAGGGGTGGGTTCCACTTACCTTTGCTACCGGTTCGCAATGGGAGCGTGTGTGTGTGCACACTTGCTTTGCTTGCACGTGGCACTTCTGCGCAAGCGCAGAGTATCCATGATGACGTCTGGGCGGGTGGGCAGAGTCTCCTGCCGCCGTTACTACCGGTTTGCAAGATATGGACCGAACCGGTAGCAACCCACCACTGGTTTGTGTGCCAGATTCTAACTTTTCATAAGGTAACCACCTTTATACCTGGATGAAGAAGGAAAGCAGCAACATAAGAAGAGATGACAAGGGTGGAGAGGGCAAAGTAAAAGAACATTATTATAGCAAAAGTTTTCATGAATCACAGACCACTTCATTTATCTGTGTCTTTAAGCTGTCATATTGTCATTATAATAGGGGCTATGAAAAAACTGTTGATTTGAGGAATCGTTGTTGTCTTCTGTTGTTGGTCCTCTGAACATTTCACTCTGGGTACAGAATGTGGCTCTTCAGAGCTCTCCACAGCAATACAAAGCCAGACACACAACCTGGCCATGAGAAGCTGAACCTTGTGTATTAGCTTAATGTGGATGATAGTTTTCGTATATGAGTCTGCAATGGCATCCAATAATGCTGATTTATACAGTCTGTCATCTGTCTGCCTGCCTGCCTGCCTACCTACCTATCTATCATCTATATCATCTCTCTCTCTCTATCATATCTCCCTCTTTCTCTCCCTCCCTCCCTCCCCCCCCCTTTCTCTCTCATCTATCTCTCATCTATCTATCTATTATCTGGACTACTCGTTCAGCAATAATTCAAAGTTGTGATGGTACTGAATGAATTGTACTTGCAACTGGTCCTTGAAGTTTTGATAGTGATCTGGGCATTTGGCAACTTGTTTGCACTTATGAGGCGTCTCATAGTCATGTGGTCACCATTTGGAATCTTCCTTATTGGCTTCCCACAAGCAAAATCAATGGGGAAGCTGGCAGGGAAGGTTGCAAGTCAGTGTGGTCGATCATTTGCACTCTTCTCCCACCTGCTTCCCACTCACCATTCCCCGTCCAGCAGCCTTCCTGCACTTGCACTGGGCCTTCTGGGCTACTTACATGCCCTCCCCTTCTGGGCAGCAGCTATTTACCTGCCTGCTAGTCTGCTTGTGAACCTCCTGGGACTCACTTAGCAAGCTGCAATCCTCACTGAACAATAACTATGGGGAAGTGTCAGAATTGCCGTCACATGCCATCACACTTAGCGATAGAAATTCTGGTCCCATTTACTGTTGTTATTCAAGGAATACCTATATCTGTCTGCCCGTCTGCCTATCTTGTTTGGCATCTAATTTTGGCAGCTGTTTGGCTTACCATTGATCAGTTAAGATGCTAAACTGCTCTGGCAGAGCCTGAAATCAATAGTTTTGTTAGGTAGCTCTGCTGGACTAATATATTGATGTCTCAGTGTAAGAGGCCTTTTCTGCCACACAAAAAGTGTACCTTCCAGTTATGTATTATTTCTTTTAAATCTGATATTGAGAAGTGTGTCATCTTTATCATAGCATTTCATAAGATCTGTGCTCTAAGAAGACGTTCAGAAATATATTATTTTCTTGATTTATGTGTATTTTAATGGAAACCATGTTAACAAAGACTTTGGAGTGGAAAAGCTTTAGTCACCCAGATAGCCAGTCCTCTTATATCAGTCTGATAAAGCAGTTTAGAAGGTCACAAGATAACCTTTTGTACTCAGGGTCTAGAAGTAATGTGGCTACTTGTATGGACTGTCATCATCTCTTCAAATAATTCTGCATTATTTTGTGAGTTTATAATATAAATCATGTGTTGTCTGAGGACATTCCTCCTCCCAGATATGCTTGTTTTCTATTATTGTCAACTTTGCCATTAAATTCCCATTCAAAAGATTTAAATTTGCTTTAAATATTCCTTAGTACCAAAAAAATAATATTGGGGTTGTCTATAAATGTGTAAAACTTTGAGAGCACCTTACATAATGACTGCAGTGGAAACCGGCATGCCAAGGTAACTCACAAAATGCTCATTTTCCAGAAAACAAAATTAATGAGGTTGATTCTTATAATCCCATAGGATGTTCTGATCCCTCAATTCTCTTTCTCTTTTTTATTTTTCTGGACAGGTAGGCACATTTTCAAACTAGATGACATGGCAAAGATTATTTATGTAATCTTTTTTAGCAAGTTAGGGACAGGAAGCATAGTGGGATACTAAGGGAAATATTCTTAGGGTGACTGGTACCAAGAGCTACCAAGCTACGAATCCCTGGGCCATAGATTTGAAATGTGATTTAAGAAAAGAAGAAAGAAAATGGACTTCAAACAGAATAGACAGGTATGAGTCCTAAAGAGAGGACAGGAGGAACCAAGAAGAAGAGCCAGTCCAAAGCACTGTATTCAGCTGCTTGGACACCATGTACTATACCATGTATTATACCAGGGGTCAGCAACCTTAAACATTCAAAGAGCCATTTGGACCCGTTTCCCACAGAAAAGAAAACACTGGGAGCCACAAAACCCTTCCCGTGCCTGACTATTTCTTGAGAGGCCACAAAACTAGCATATGTAGTTGAATTAAACATTCTGTTTTCTTCTGAAACTTTTCTTTTCTTGGATTTATCCATGGTCGGCCTACCCGGGGTTGAAAAGCTCAATAAATCGCATGCCAGCGGGTGTCGCACATTGAGTGACAAGGAGCCACAGCAGAGAGGTGAAAGAGCCACATGCGGCTCCAGAGCCGCAGGTTGCTGACCCCTGTACTATACCATGTACCGTGTACTACAGCTTCATGCCCATTTGCTTGCTGGGGATCAGTCTTAGACCGGCCCAAATTGTGTTTGGACTAAATAATCTTTACAACTGGTCCATTTTCTATATGAGTCATAACAAGAAAGTGAAGTGGAAGTGAAAACTGAATACCAAGTCTTTCTCCTTTTTCTCATGTGGTGAACTCATGCCAAGATAATATTTTCTGGTCATGGGGAATCACTTTGACTGACCTAATGCTTCTAGATTCAACTCTGTGCTTTCAGACAATATAGCAATTCTCTTTGTTTTTGCTTAGAAAAAAAAAACAAGACAGATTCTCGTAGAACAGGAAAAATATAAACTAATCAAGAAGATAAGGCTGTGATAATTTGTTTTACCTAATAGAGGACAATTAATTTGAAGAGGTGTCAGTAATGATCTGTTTGAATGTCTATTTAGTCTAAGTGCAATTTAAAGGTCAGGACCAGGATCAAAAAATTGAAGAGAAGCTTATCTCCTTTATTTTGCTAACTGTTAACCTATGTTAAGACTTTAAGTATAATTTTTCAGTGTTTCCTAATTTAAAATTGTGAGAAAATGTGCCTTCAGTTTCCAAGACTCATGGTGAGATGGGTTCCAGTGGCCTCACAAAGAGATTTCAGGTTATTTATCCTTGATTTAGAAAGTAGACTGAGAATGCATACAGTATCTTGTTATGCTGAGAACTGTTAGCTGCTGTTGTTGTTCAATCACTAAGTTGTGTCCAACTCTTTGTGACTCCAAGGACCATAGCATGCCCAATGGACCCTATTGTTCTCCACTGTCTCCTGAGTTTGCCCGAATTCATGTTCATGTGTTAATGACACTCTCTAACCTTCTCATCATATTGTCCCCTTCTCTTTTTGCCTTCAACCTTCCCCAACATCCCAACAAAAATAGCTTTCTATTTAGTTTTATTATACTTTAAAGAGTTATACGTACACATACAAATCAGCATGTGCAAATTGTTTGCGAATCTGTGTCTTTTACAAGTTGTCATAAGGGGAAAATCTCTGACACAAGATTAAGATGTTTCGAGATGTCTATGAAATGAAGAAGGCTATGAATATTCTGATTGCTGCCATAATCCAGATTTCAGGTCCATTCTCAGGCAGCCCCAAAAGCTTTAAGTGAGGTTCTAAGAGATTTCAACATTTTTAGAAAATACCATTGTTATACGACAAAAAGAAGACTATTATATCCTTGATTGAAAGATAATCATATAAACTATATTTAACTTACTGACTATAACTATATATTAAAAAATCATGTCAGATTCCATTTTTGTCTTGGCCTTAAATTGTGGCTGTCTGGAAGCAGGTCTCAGGAAATTATCCAAAGGACAAGTATGGCCTTTGACACAGAAAAAGTTGTACTCTTCTGGCCAGGTTTCGGGAACTAAAGCAGCAGCAGCAGCAGTTTTGTTGACATGAGCCATTGTCATGTGAAAAAGTAAGTGGAACATTCCTCTAGTGACTTAGATTATTCACATGACTTATCAGCTGATAGTGCAAAATTCACTCAGCTTCTGGGAACTCTGCCCCTCTGTTAGTCACCTTCTGTAATTTGGATAAACATCTGTCTCTTCTTTATTTTTTCACATATGAAGTGGGGGAATCTCACAGGAAAGATTCATAATTCATTATAAAAGTTCTACCAAGACTTCACTATTCAACACTGAGTAAAGCAGAGGCCTTTTCATGTCAGATACATAAATCAGCCATGCCCTGAATGGGGATTCCCATTGCTCTTCCTGTTCAGGTCCCTTTGCTGATGCGTGACAAGATTTTGTTTAATGAATCGGAACTTGTACTTTTAAAAACAGCTTGATTTTTAAGATATGAATTTAATCTTAGATTCATGCAAGGAAAGAGTGACAAGTCTAGCTAGTTCAAAGGAAAAGAGGATGAAGGAACACAGGCTCCTAGCACACTGTTTTTTAATTTAGAGCAGGGCAGTCAAACTCCCGGCCCACAGGCCGGATGCGTCATGTGCTGGCAACGCCCATGCCTGGTTTAGCGAAGGGGGAGAAAGTCCCAATACATCACGTGATGCCGCTGTGATCATGTGAGTTTGACACCCCTGACTTAGAGGAATGCACCTGTAAAGATGTGTAAGATTTTCACTTTCAATTCAAATATTGAAACCAGCCTGTGGCCATTTAGATACTTGTTTTCCCATCTGCTTTGGGAACTGCTTTGTTGCTGTTTGATGGATCCTGTTTCAAAAACTCTGCTGATGGAATTTTATTTTTTCACATGGTTATATATTACTAAAATTAACGGGGGGGGAGGGATGGTGCATGGAAACAATGAAATTGTTTAATTTTGAAAGTATGTTTACTTTTTAAAATATTTTATTCATTTCTAATGCACACTTAAATGATTGTGAAAGCACTCAAAGACATAAACAATTGGGGATTGATTTGTTATGCAAACATTATGCAACATCCTTGTGTACAGTATTAGCTGAGGTAATTCATACATGAATAAAGAAGGCTTGAATAGCTCTCATATACACTGAACTGGAACCAGTCAACTACTAGGTGGCAAAGTAATCTTGCATTCCATTTATATCCTAATTTTATTTTAAAAAAATATGGCATTTGGAAAGGGCAAATTGTCTACCCAAATAAGAGTTTCAACTGCGTGTCACCAAGCAAACATGGAAAAGTTGAACTGATAATTCCAGACTCTTTAGGATACAGTGGCCCTGGACAGAAAGTATATGTCCACAATAAACATTTATCCTCTTTTATCTTACTGAGTCTGAGCTATATATCATAAACCTGTGGCAATACCACCCTTGTATTGCTGCCATGACAACTAAATGAAGGTGTCTGTGACGTCACCAGGAGTCAAGCACTATTTGAAGGAAAACTTTCCCCTGTAGAAGCCAAATAGCAGAAGTGGGAGGGGGAAGAAAGTGGAAGTGAAGGATCATCTGTCTTGTATTCATGTGGTTCCAAAGTTACAAAGACTGTCTGATTTAACGGGTATGATTTACCTGTGCTAAGAAATTGGAATTCTATCATTTACCTGGGAATAAGGGTCCTTTAACTCAACCGGATTCATATTTGAGGCACATACAAGATTCCACAAATAGCAATTTATCCATTTTACAGAAAAATGTGCTTTCATAAATAGCTTTGTATTAGCCGGCAGAGTGAATTTCTGGGGCTAGAGAGTAGATAGGAAGTTGTTGTATCTGATTTGTGTAGTGAATTTATTCATTCTCTGGGAGTAGACAACAATGTAGGTGTCCATTCCCATAAAGTTACAGAACTCAGAAGCCAGGAAGGCATTTCTTCAATGAGAAATCATTGTGGTTTCTAAACTCAGCTGAAAACTTCCAAGTGCACTTTTCTAGCAAAGACCAAAGACAAACTCCTAACTCAGTGCTACTCCTAGCTCAATTTTGCACCACTGGGATCCCCTATACCCATATTAAATGTTGGAGATCTCCACAACGACAAACATAAAGTTAGCCCTTCTAATCCTGAGTAGTTTGGTTTTCATTAATCTATCATAGAGTTATAAATTAGGGTAACAAGTCCACTTGGATCAATGTAGAATTTAGAATAACAGAGTTGGAAGGGACCTTGGAAGTCTTCTAGTCCAGCCGTCACCAACTGGTGGTCCGTGGACCACTGGTGGTCCGTTAAAAAATTTTGGTGGTCCGCAGAAAAATTATTTGCATTTTTTATATTGCACTAAATCAGGGGTCCTCAAACTACGCCCCCTGGGGCAGATAAATGCAATAAACGTTTGTGTTGCTGCAGAGTCTCCCCCCCTCCTTTGGGGTCTTTTTGTGCAGGTCGGAGGGGGAGGCAGAAATTCCGACTTGGGGTCTGCTTCAGCCTCCTGGTGTGGGGCTTTGGGCGAAAGCTGGACAGAAACGCCACTGGTGGCAAGGAGCTGGAGGGCCTCGTTCCAGTGGGACTGCATCATGGCCTGGAACTGGTTGACCATCTCAGCCCGCTGAGCCTCCAGGCGCCGGTACTTGGCTTTCCACTCCCACAGGTCTTTCCTCTGCTTGGAAAGCCTATGCTTCTAGTCCTCAGTGAGGTGCTTCTGCTGAGCCTCCTTCTCGGTCAGATCCAATTTGAA